TTTTTTTTAAGATTCATTTTATTTATTTATTCATACAAAAGCTAGGATGTAGGCCAGAGGTGCTGGAATGTGAGAGGATTCCAGAGACAGAGTGGGGAGCAGAATAGGCAGTGGGGAGCAGAATAGGCAGATCTGCTGAAATGTACTGCAGGTGAGACAGGAGAGGTCTGCTGTGCCATGTGGGCTATACTCCCTGACTGGATCAAACTTGTGCTTCAGTGGTTGCTGATAGCTTCATAGTGCTGAGATTTAACCTTTTGCACTACCAGGGAGGCCCTGATCATATCTTTTGCTCTGTTTACTGTCCTTTCATGTGACACTTGGCAAGATTTAGTGCCCAAGAGACATAGTTTATATAAAGGGGCTGGGTTGGCACTTCAAGCCACTTAAAGGTCAAAAGCTGACAGTGTATTCTCTTCCTTTCTCAACATTTAGAAACAAGAGTTTTGTTTACAATTGCCTCACATTTGTCACAAAACATATTATACAAAAGTATTCAGGCAGATTAGGCCAGAAAATGTGAATGTTAGATTCTCCCAAGAGCTTTGTTATTTCATACCCTAGGCCTCTATGAAGTGAATAAATAGAACTAGATGGATTCATAATACTCTTCCTTCCAACTCTTAAAGCAATTCAACTTGTCTATATTCTGTACATCAACTACATTTTGCTACTTCTTGATCTAGAGCTGTTGAATAATTTCTAAGCCTACCCGTCAATTATTACATAGCATTTCAGACTCACTAAGGTAGTAGAGTGGACCCTGAGGTTTGTCCAGTGTGTCCTTAACACATTGAGGAAATTAATTCATCTATTGTATGTCTAAGATGCCAAGGGAGAAATGAAGAAAAAAGCAATTTATTTCAACAAGCATTTATTGTAGTCAGTGTTCAGCCTATTAGAAAATGCAGGAGATTTGGATAATTAAGACAGTGTTCCTACAGAATTTACAATCCTGTGGTAAGGATAGGGATAGAGAACATTCTATTCTTCTAGAAACTGATCTGAAAAACTGTAGAATTAAGTTTTAGTTCTGGGTGGAACTTAATAATACTGTGTTGTTACAATTAAGGGAAATGAAACTCTAAAATATAAAATGATTTGTTCAAGTGTGTCTTTAGCACTTTCTCTTGAAAATGATAACCCTCCATGGCTGTAGAATTCAGCATGCCATTAGTTCCTCTATGGTCTGCGTTGCCCTAACAGTTTCTCATCTCCTTTGCTCTGCCTGAGGAGCTTAAAAAGGTAGAATGGAGATGTGGAAAGGTGAAATGTGTAATAGAAGGAAATGAACTTGAACCAGTACCTGGAAACAGACTTTCTTTTTCTGGTTAGAATCAAATCACAAGTCTGTTTTCTGTCTTTTTTAGATAGTTAGAATAAGATTCTCAGAGTAGCTCTTGACTTTCATCATCCTTTATGCTAACATAGATATTCTTAGCCAAGAACTAAGTAGTTCTTAGCCAAGAGCTACTCTCACTAATTCATAGCTACTCTTTTATTCTAAAAACTTGTCAATCCATGCAGCTTTTCTTGTTTGCCTAGATCATTGGTCACTCATAAAAAGGGCTCTTTAAATATTAAGTATAATTGTTTGAAGTAGTTTTCCCCTTTATGTCTCTGGCAGTTGGTTACTTTTGATGCAGCCCATTAGCCTGATGTATGAGTAATTCAACCACATAGACTCTGCTATGACTTATGTAGATTTTATGTTTGGTTTCTTTCCATGAAAAGTGTTTTCAGCTCACTTTAATATGTGTTGAAAAAATGAGAAACTAATATTGAAGTCTGCAAATAATTACTCTTTTCCAGTTCTACCAACATCTTTTTCATCTCAGACCAACCATTGCCATGAAGAAAAAGCAAGTGAGAACTGGTTATAGATGATTTCTTGGAATTATTTTTAATATCAACTAAGGCAAATAGTTAGATGGGAAGATGAAAGTCTGTGTTTTAGTGAAGTATTTTTTAAAGTATATTTTTTAAAATCTAAGACTTCTTTAGACATTTGAATTTTTAATTTTTTGTAGTGGTGGTGGTGATGGTAGTGGTGGGTTTTGAAGGCAATTATTCAAGTTTGAACTGTCTTTATAAATCTGTAATTGCTGTGCTGCCAACTTCTATCACTTGCCAAACTTAACCTTGAGAAACTGGAAACTGCATGTGTGTGTGTGTATAATTTTAAGGTCTTTTACATTTCTTATTGACTTTACCTATTTTGTCTCTGTTTCTAGTGTATCATTTTACTTCCTGTTTTTAGCATAGTGATATGGCAGAACTTTGGAGGCCATAAATTTTGCCAGTTCAGGCTGAGAAACCCTGTAAATCCATGAATTACTTAGCCTAATACTCTTTGAAATTAGTAAAATTAAGTATCCTTATGATCACCATGTCTTAAGGATATATAGACCAAGGAAAGGCAGCTATTGTGTCTAAAGGGCAGTGTCGCTGTGTTCATATAATTATGGCCACCTTTCTGCCAGTCAGTTTGGAATAGGAATGTAAGACCAGGGCCTAGAGGATGAGTGGAACAGTGCTGTAGCCTTCAAGGGTCAACTCCCAATTGATTAATCACACTGTATTTCTCAGAATATCTACTGACCCCCCCCATATAGGTTATCAGTGTGGAATGTGTCTTTTCATTTCCCTGCTTTAATAGTATCTGGGACACTAAATACAAGTTAGGATTGGTTCAGTTAAACTGGTTGCTTCATCATGTGAACATAATCCAGAAGCACAAATCCCTGTTTATGGTAGTCTTTGACCTTGAATTTTCCATATCTGAGCTTATAAATCACCAATCCTAAGTAATGACTGTAGAAAGCAGAAGAGCAACTAGATAGATTTCTGTTGGTTTAATGTTTGTTTTTTGTTTTTTTTTTTTTAAGATTTATTTATTTATTTATACAAGCACTGGGTACAGTCAGAAGCGCGGGAGGGCGAGAGAATTCACCAGAACCAGAGCGGGGAGCAGACCAGGCAGAAGGACCGAAGTACACTGCTGAGGGGAGCAGCGGGCGGCAGGAGACGTCTGCGCGCCATGCGGGACCCTCCTCCGGTGGCCGGGGAGCAGCCGGGGACCGAACCAGCGCCGCAGAGGACGCAGGCAGCCTCGCAACCCAGCGCTCAACCGCTGCGCCACCGGTTTAATGTTTTTATAAAGCGAAAGAGGAGAAACAGGATCCTAATCTTTTTCAGAATAAAAGCTTTCTTCCTTATCTTGCTTATCATAGAAATCAGGGTAGACCACAGGCAGTCTCTAAAGGAATCGTTCAGGCTCCAGATTACATCTCCCTGAGCTGGACAAGAAAGACCATGGCAGATGTAAGGCCACTTCTTTGTGGTGCTTCATGGGGTCTAATCTCCATAGTCCTATGGATCATTGTTTCTTGCCCACCTTATGCAATACCAAGAAAATAAGAGAATTTGAAGTTTAAACTAAACCTATTAAAAATAAGGTCAGTGTTAAGACTCAGGAAGGTCATCAGGATTTAGCCTTCTTGCTAATTTTTTAACTTCTGTCCATAAATTTATGTTTTTGTTTTTGTTTTTGTTTTTTGCCAGAGATACTAAAGTTTGCAAATAATGTGACCCTCTTCAACTTTATGTATCTGTGTTGGTGTAGGGGTGGGCAGGGATAGAGGAAACTTCTTTTTGATGAGGAAAGACTGAAAAAGAAGAGGACCCTTGAATATAAGGAAGTTTTGAAACCTACTTATAAAATATTGCACTATACTTAGTAAGTAGGGGAAAGAGGAAGCAGAAAGAAATGCAGTTATATAACAATCAATGTGTCATCTTATTCCCCCTACTTAATAGTATTCCGGGGCAATAGATATAAGTTGACACATAGCAAACTTCAAGTACCCAGCAGAATATAAGATAAATATTGTTGAGAAACTGAGTAGTGTAAAACCTTCCTGAGAAAGAAACTTAACTATTTATATCAACTAAGGCCCACAGAAATTCATGCCTTTTTTTTTTTCTGTAGTCAATTCCTGGACTATTTTTCTTGTATTTCCATAAAAATCCAAGAAGTTTTATATGCCAGAAGCCATTATGGTTCTAAGAGCTGATAGCTGCCATGTGATCTGAGTAAGAGACAGGATAAACAGAAAAGGGCTTGAAAGTGGTTTTGGCTAAAATACTTTGTAGGACAGGAGCTAACAGAAAGCTTTTTTTTTTTTTTTTTAAAGATGTATTTATTTATACATACAACAACTGGGATATAGGCCAGAGGGGTGTGTGCGTGGGGGTGGGGGGTGGTTAGAGGATTCACCAGAAACAGAGTGGGGAGCAGAACAGGCAGATCTACTGAAATACACTGCTCAGGGGAGCAGGCAAGACAGGAGAGGTCTGCTGTGCCATGTGGGTTAGCTCCCTGGCTGGGATCGAACTCATCCCACAGTGGCTAGTGATAGCTTGATAACGCTGAGACTTTGACCCCAGTGCCACTAGGGAGGCCCCCAAAAGCTAATACTTTTGATGAATGTCTTCTCCCACAAAGTTCATTGGTTGAAATTTTCCCAACCTAAGGACTTTGATCCCCTTATTTCCACATAATGGTTATAACTATGCTTTATCAGGCACTTTGCTAGATGCTTTATGTCAGTTTTCTCTTTTAACCCTCCCAGCAGCTCTCCAAGTTCTGGCTAGAAATCAGCTCCAGAGAGGCTGTGTAACTTTCCCAGGTCATGTCATCAGAACACCTTTCAAATTCCTTGACCTGTTACCCAACTCTGAGGTTGAACTAATCCCTAATTCAAAACCTGCTTGTTTCTCGAGTGTGAGTTACTCTTGAATTCTGTTAGAGAAAACTAGTTTGCATGAATTGGCAAAAATTATGAAAGTACAGTATTTAAAATCTTTCCACCTAGTTAAAAACTATTTGGTCGATAAAATATGGTAGGTGGATTTTATCATAGATTGAAATTTAGGAATCCTAAGATTTTTTATTTTTCAGTTCTATCATTGAGTTATTAATTCAAAATTTTTAGTTAACATTCTGGTTTGTTAATAACATGTAAGTTTGAAATAGAAGAATAGGATAAGAAAAATAAGTGGTGGAGATTTTAAACAAGAATAGGAGTTAACATGGATGTAGATTGTTTTAAAGGCAGAAATCCTGTGATTCAATATGTTCAAAGATTATGCTAAGGTTCCATCTTGTCACATGTGCTTACTAGCTCTTCCCCAAGTTCTGTTCACTGTAATTGCAATATTGGCTGTTTTGTGGACCTTGAACCCATTTCTTAGAAAGAAACAGTGGGGTGGAGCTAAATTAGAGAAAAAAGTTCTTGGAGAGCAAGTTGTTTAAGTTGGCAGTGGACTTAGAAACTGGAATAAACCAAAGACAAAACAGCATAGCTCATGAGTAAGCCATCAAATTGAGACAACAAACTGCATTGCTGTGGTGGTGGTTTTATTTGTTCTTCAGTACCCATTTTTATTCTGGAAAATACTCTGTGGATCTTCTTAAATTAAAGCTATCAAAGAAAACAGACTAAAACAACTGTGAATTTACCTTCTGTAAGTAGAATTCCTATTTTAAAGAGAATGGTGGGTTAGGTGTGTTTGATTGACTTAGAAGATGAGTTATCTAGATACCTAGAACACATTAGTTTGAAAAGTAGAAGGAGAAAGAATATAATTATTTCTTATTTATTGTGCTTTAATGAATTTCTAAGTTTTTCCTCATTTGACATAATTTGAGTTTAACATAATTGTTCCCATGGATTTTTTCTAAAACAAGACTTAAGTGAACATAAGGATTTGCCAGTATTGATTTAAGTTTGTGTCTACAGTGTATGTTTGTATATTAATTCCCACCAGATTTGTACCTTCTTGTTCATTTACCATTGGGCAGACTTTGCTTAGGATTCCATTACAAGAAATCCTTGGTCCACTGCCAATGAAAGGAAGTAGATTCTGTTTCTACTCTATTTCCTAGTGGTTTGAAAGTAAAATACATTGTACAAAGGTGACACTTCAAAACAAGTGCATACTTTGAAAGGCATTCTTGAGATTTGGACTTCAGAATTATTAGGTCACTGTCATGATTGCGTATCTTCGTTGGTCAGGTGTCTCTAATTGTTAATAAGGCACCTAAATAATTAGGAATTTGTGCATCTTCAAAAAAATCATAATGGGAAGAATATGTAAAAGTTCTTCAAGGAAATCAAGGGTACAAATCTTAAGTAGTTTTTGGTACTTGCTTCTTGCTTTTAAATAATCTATTACATGTCCTCTTATTTCCCCAAATGAAAATTATGGCTTCATTTTTCTCTTCCAGCTTTTAGCCTTGATGCTCCTTTAGGAAAGACTGGTGGAAATTAACATACAAAACAGTCTGTTTCATCTCTACATCTCCCTCAGCCTCTTATACCCAAAGGAACTCTGCAGATATCCACTAAATCAATGGCTGGGATTCATGTTAATATGGAATGAAATTATCCTTTATGGTTTTCTTATGTTGTGATCTTTTTCCAGACCTATTGGAAGAGAACAAAATTTGTGATTTATACCTCTGTTTTTGAGAATGTTATCTGTCTTCTTGTTTCACATCATTTGCTTGGTTAAAAATCATAATTTATAATCACTCAGATACCAGTGATCTCTCCATTCTACTGTGATTCTTTGTCTCAGAAGTGGTGCCCTCTTACCATTTGTGCTGTCATTGAAACTGATTGCTCTTTTGGTGGTTATTCTGGTATGTGTTGGCTTTTTTGGTTTTTTTCACTGTTTATTATAAAAACCTCATGGACAGAGATCTCATTATATATTTCTTTATACTTCTAGAACCTTTGTGGCAATAAATAGTAATAATACTAAATTGTTAAGCTCTATAATTGTAAAGTAATATTGTGTCTGGCATTGAACTTTGATTATCCTAACTGATGCTTTACCTTGTTCTTTGCTGAAAGTGCGAATCTATTTATTGAGCTTGATGTCATAAAATCATGGGATGTAATTGAAGAGGAAAAAATAGATGGCTGAATAAGCATGCTTTTGAATTGAGCATACTTGACTCTGAGTCTATAAATTTCATATTTAAAGTATTCCTTTTCTGGGCCTCCCTGGTGGCATAGGATTTAAGTCTCAATGCTATAATGTTGTCACCATGACGGCCTGTGTTCAATCCCCCACCAGGGAGCTAACCCACATGGTGCAGCAGACCTCTCCTCTCTCACCTGCTGGTCCCTTTAGCAGTGGGTTTCAGTAGATCTACCTGTCCTGCTCCTCACTCTGTCTCTGAATCCTCTCAGCTCCTGCCCCCTGATCCTCTGGTCTATACCCCAGTTCTTCTATGAATAAATTTTTTAGATAAAATTCAGGATTCCTCTTCTCCCTCCTTAGTAATGCTGTCACAGTACTCTGTTTCTTTCATAGCACTAATCTCACCGTGATATCATTGTTGCTTTTCTCTCCATTAGTCTTAGGGATACTTATGTTTGTATTTACTGTTGAATTACTAGTACTGAACTCAGTTTGTCACATAGTAATAGCCTGATAAATACTTACTGATTGAATGAATAATGACAGGCACACTTAGGCTCATTAGCATGAATACATGCTCGGAATTCTAAAGCATACTTTTTCACAAACTGGAGTTAAGGGACAGAAAGAATCCACCAGCACTTTCCTCTCTCCTTTTCTCAATTTCCTACACCCCACTCCAACTCCAGCTACAGGAGGGAGGTTTTGCCCCTTGGTGTATGTCCTGGATGGACTTTTACTTGCGGCAAACCAGTGACAAGTCTGTCTAGACTTAATTTAATATTGAATATCCAATTGATACCTTGTTTTCAGTGTTCTTAACTCTCATGCCCTGCTAGGATAGAAATGTATCTAAATTCTGAACACTCTTTGCCTAGGGCATCAATAGACCTTTCCTTCAAATTTAAATTAGCTGAAGTCTGGTTGTTCTATATGTGAAAATTCATTCTTAATGTCCTGATTAAACACAGACCATCCAATTAGGTGAATTTTCTGATGTACTTGCTTTTTTATCTACTGACATTTATGATTAAAAAGCCTTATAACAGTTAAATTTCATTAGTGACATCCATTTGTCATTATTACAAATTACCTGTTTCCTGCAACCAAGAAGTCTTATCTCAGATTTAATTTTTTTCATCCTCTACCAAACCAGCTGTGCTCATTTGCCTCTCTCCCCCATTCTTCCTCCCCCACCCCCTTCCCGTTCCCTCTGGTAATCATTATGTTCTTTTTGCTGGGTTCAGTACTTATTCCTATTATTCTTTGTCTGTGATTGTGGGATTTATATTCCATGGAAGAGTGAAACCATCCAGTGACCATCTTTCATTTTTTTTTACTTATTTCACTAAACAAAATCACCTTGAGAGCCATCAATTTTGCCCCAAATGCTACCATTTTTTCTTTCTTCACAGCTGTGTATTTCTCCTTTGAGTATATAGTCCACAATTTCTGTCCATTCATCTGTTGAAGGGCACTTGGGTTGGTTCCATGACTTGGCAATTGTGAACTGTGCTGCTATATACATAGGCAAAGATATATATTTCTGTTTTAGAGTTCATATTATTTGCATCAATACTTACTAGAGGTATTGCTGGATCATAGGAATTTCCATTTTTATTTTCTTAAGACGTCTCCATGTCATTTTCCACAGGGGCTGCATTAATTTGCTTACCCACCAACAGTGGATGAGAGTTCCTTTTTCACTGTAACCTTGCCAACATTTGTTAATTCCATTCCTTTTTATATGGACCATTCTCAGCAGGAATTAGGTGGTGTCTCAAAGTCGCTTTAATTTGTATTTCCCTTATACATAATGTTGAACATCCTTTCATATATCTGTAGGTCAACTGAATGCCTTCTTTAGAAAAATGACTATTTAAATTCTTTGCCCATTTTTAAATGGGTTGTTGGTTTCTTCTTGATTGTGTAGAACTTTGTAAATTTTGTATATTAACCCCTCAGCAAATGTGTGGTGTGGAGATTTGTATTCAATCAAATACTGAACACCTCTATTAAAGAAATGATTCTGCAGAATAAAGAAAGGTTAGGTTTCTAAAACCCTAGTTGCAAATCCCCTTTGCCTCACTCTCCAAAGGGGGTCCCTATTAGCAGTTACTTCTCTCACCTGTAAATTCTGGAAAATAACTCTGATGCTAGAAGAGGGTTCCTTCACTGAATGAAATCCATGTAAAAAGTATTTACCAAGAAAACAGTTTTCATTTCCTTAAGTTATCATATATTATTGTTTTTCTTAAAGAATCTTCTGTGGACTCAACTTTTCCTGGCAAAATGAACCATTCCCACCATATGGGGATGCACTCGATGGACCACACCATGCCACCTTCGCACTTTCACTCGACCACGTCATCCTCCCACTCCCACGGCGGGACCACGACACCCTCCCACTCCCATGGTGGGGGAGGTGGCCACATGATGATGGTGAGTGCCACAGAAGAGGCAGCCACGGCCCCCTCCCACCCATTTGGGTAATAGAAGTAGTTGGATTTTAGGGTATTATCTTTATTTATTTATTTTTTTAAAGATTTATTTATTTATTTATACAAGCACTGGGTACAGTCAGAAGCGCAGGAGGGTGAGAGAATTCACCAGAGCCAGAGGGGGGAGCAGGGCAGGCAGAAGGACCAAAGTACACTGCTGAGGGGAGCAGCGGGCAGCAGGAGAGGTCTGCGCGCCATGCGGGACCCTCCTCTGGTGGCCGGGGAGCAGCCAGGGATTGAACCGACGCTGCAGAGGCTGCGGGCAGCTTCGCAACCCAGCGCTCAACCGCTGCGCCACCTGGGAGGTCCAAGGGTATTATCTTTAAAGGACAGTTACCGAGGAGGAAAAGCTCGGGTAGACTCGGGCAAGTCAAATGATTTCCCAAGTTCATGTAGCAGGTTCATTATGGAGCCACACCAGAACCAAGGTTAGGAGGGTTCTTCTCTATTTCTTTCCTTCAAAATTGACCCTTTTCTGAGTTAAGTTCTGGTCTTTGGGCTCTGTGGAGGAAAGGGATAGTGGCAAAAGTTGGTGGTGGGGACAAAGAAGACAAGCTGTGGAGAGTGCCTGCGGGGATGATGGCTAAAGTGAGGAAGAAAGTCTCCTACTTCCGTGAATGTCTCTTGTCATCCACATTGACTTTTAAAAGTCCTAAGCTACTTTGCCTGAAATTTTCATTGAGAATCTTCAATCACTTCTTACTGATTGGTTTTTTTTGACAGCCTATGACCTTCTACTTTGGCTATAAGAATGTGGAGCTGTTGTTCTCTGGTTTGGTGATCAACACAGCTGGAGGTGAGTAAGACAACATAGAAAGACAACAGAGGTGACCTTTAAAGATGACAGTCACAAGAGTACAGTGACACAGATTATGGAGATCCACCGCCTCTTCTGCCATAATTACTAAATCAGCGAATTGATAACTTGTTTCCTGCTTCCTCTTTAGAAGGCAAGGATGCACAGTGCTTATTTTGGTCTTCATTAAACTTTCTTTAAATGACCTTTATATGTTTTAATGTTTATGAAAAATAATTCAGACACCAAATAGATATCTTTCGCAATCCATTTCCTTTCAGCCTTTTCCAGTTATTGGTCCTGGACATTAAAAAAAAAAAAGCTATAGACAAGTTCAAATGATATGAGAAGCATTTTATACATAAATACCACAAAGTAACTATGGATTAATCCTAATATCCTTCCATTGTATAGATAGGTGAAACCTAAAACAGTAAAATGATTAGTCCTAAACCACCATGTCAGAGCTAGGAGAGGAACCCAGACAGTGAAAACCACCCAATCCATGCTATTCCTTGCGCACTAAGCCATGGTCTATATCTTTCCTGATTCTTGGCATACCCCATGAATCAGGGTCAGTCCTAGTTTGGGGGAAGCGAATCACCCATTTCTTTGTGTCTTAATGTTGACTTGGTGTGCCTTTAATTTAAATTGCCTAAGCTTAAAAGTCAGTTGGACTACTTTTAGCTACCAGGTATACCTTTGGATTCACAAAATCAGTTTGTGGAAGACAAGAGCATTTAGTTCAGGTAGTGTGCTAAATAAGCAATTTGCATACATATACCTCATTACCAGTACTTTGGTGTCAAAGATTTACGTTTGAAATGTCTATTCAAGAAATAGAGTCAGCATTTAAAAATAAGTGTTTTGTTTCCCTCTTGCATATTTTACATTGTATATTTCAATGAAGCATGCTCATTTAATGACATTTTTAATGACATAACTTAAGAAGCCAAACACAAAGGTTATTACTGTTCAGGTGATTTTATGTATTTTAATCAGAAAATGAGTGTGTTCTTCGGTGGAGGCGATGGTTTTTACTAACACTGTTCTAGTAGTTCGATTTGTGCAAGTACAGAACAATATATGTATTTAGAAATTGAGCATAGCGCTTTTTCTATGTTGTCTTTCTAGTTTGGACAGCATGCTAGCTAGTGGTTTTGCATGTGTTTGACAGTACCATCTTTCCCTTCCCTACTTAGAAATGGCTGGAGCTTTTGTGGCAGTGTTTTTACTAGCAATGTACTATGAAGGACTCAAGATAGCTCGAGAGAGGCTGCTGCGCAAGTCACAAGTCAGCATTCGCTACAATTCTATGCCTGTCCCAGGACCAAATGGAACCATCCTTATGGAGACACACAAAACTGTCGGGTAAGAAGACTGAACAGTTTCAGATGGAAGTTCTGGAGATTTCGATTAAACAGCAAAGCAACTATTTTTAGCAACAGCCCTCTTCTTGAATTAGTGGTATCATATGATCTTGATCAAAACTGTCTTTGGAGGCTTGGGGTTGTGGGTCAAGAGCAGATCAGTGGACTGATAGGTATCTTTCGGCAATAGGAATGTTTGTCTGAATTATAAGTACTGATCACTTTGGAAGAAAGTAAGGAATCCATATTTTAAAATATTTTCCCAGATAATAAAAATTAAATTCAGAGGAATTCAAGTAAGGGTATAAAAGAATGGCAGGGTCCAGTTGATTTCTTTCTGGTAGAAGTTGCACTTAGTGCTAGTCCCTTTTTGTTTATAAGATCAGATTGTACAAATGTCTGTGTTCTAAGAAAACACTTGGATGACAATTGGTTTTTGCCACACATGGGCAAATAATTTTTGAGATTCAGTTTTAAGAGAAAGGTAGGTCTAAAAACTAAATTGTAGCTCAAGGAATCCTGTAGACCAATAGCCTCCTTTCAAGTAAGCTCAGTATTATTTATTCTCATTGTACTAATGAGTTTATTGAGGCCCAAATGGCTTGTAACTTAACTAAGGTGATAGAACTATTAATAGTAAGTAACAGAGGAGATTTAGTAGCCAGGTCTCCTGATCCCTAATTAAGTAGCTTCTACTAACAACCCAATCCTTAATTCTGTCTCCATTTTTGCAGAATGTGAGCTTTGCAAAGATGGAAGCCCTGGAAACATTCAGGCATATCAACGTGGGAAGGTTTAGTTAGGGCTTCCCTTTCAGGATCTAAGGTGAAGGTCAGTCAGTGGGTTGCTCCTCTTTCCTCTTGTCTCCTCCCCAAAATGGTCCCTCCTGCTGACATATAACCATATCTGGCCTATGCCTAGAAATCTGACATCCCTGTTGTGTTTTATTTCCAGAGACCAGTAAACATACACGTTACACAGAAATACCCATGTGTTTTTCAGGGAAGCTTGAGTCTAGTTCAAACTGAATTGGTGGCTACAACTGTTTGCCCTCTCTGTCTGCAGAGCTGAACTCTGAACCCGAGCCTTTCTAGGGGTCCCTGATTATTGTGTCCTTATTTGCTCCCCAGGCAGCAGATGCTGAGCTTCCCCCACCTCCTGCAGACAGTGCTGCATATCATCCAGGTGGTCATCAGCTACTTCCTCATGCTCATCTTCATGACCTACAATGGCTACCTCTGCATTGCTGTGGCGGCGGGGGCTGGCACAGGCTACTTTCTCTTCAGCTGGAAGAAGGCAGTGGTAGTGGATATCACGGAGCATTGTCATTAATGTCAGACTCTATGGTGTGGCCTTATCGATTGCAGTGGGAAGCAGTTCAAGACTGGAAGACATGTTTCTTGTCTCCTTGTGTACACACATCCTCACGTACACCTACTCAACAGAGGTTTAGCGTACAGTCTCTGGCTAAAAGTGGTAACCTCTTTTACTGTTTGTTTTTTTTCTCCTAATGAACTGAGATTCCCATTTTTCTTGAGGTGAAGCCACCCATGAGAATGTCCTCTCCTACCCCATCATCTTAGATCCAAGTTATATGTTCTTGTTTAATCCAGGTAGCTTTCAAGTCAATGATTTCATCGCCTACTTCCTTTTAGTCTTTTGTTTTTATTTTTTTAACAGACCATATGTGAATTTGGTGGGGTTTTCCTGGGTTAAGTGATGGAAAGAGTTAACTTCAGCTAGGATTGATGGCAGATGAGAGAAGTTCTTGCCCAGCTAAACCCAGAACCCAACTTAACATTAAAAAATAAGTTCCAGTCTTTGGACTCAATGAGTGGGAAGTACCTTGTGCCTTTCCCTAGGTATGATGTGTTGACTGAAATCCTTGTAGTGTGCAGGGCATGGTTTGAACTAAATACAGGACTGGAGCTTTAGAAGTGCCCATTCTTGGGTGGCTGACTCGTCAACTGTGTTCCCACTTAACATGTTGATTAGAATGGTCTTGTCAATTAAAATAATGACAATCATTTTGAAAAAATAGAAATAATAGATATTTTTAAATAAAACCATTGGCATTTTACTTTGACTTGGTACTTTGGTTTGTCACAGCTGAATGAAGCAAAACAGTTTGAATTGTTAACTCCTGTTTTTATGTGTCTGCCTCTAGACCAGTGTTTTTCAAATTTTAGCATGTATCAGAATCACCTGGAGGTTTCTTAAATACTAGTCCTTAGGCCTCAACCAACCCACAGCGCCCAAAATTGGTATTTCTAACAGGTTCCCAGGTGATGCTCCACATTTTGAGAATCTCTGCTTTAAACTGAGGGCGTACACTAGTGGGCGAGCTACCTGGTATTGGGCATGGAAATTTGGGTTGCTGATTGGTCGGTGGTATATCTGGGCTTAACTCATGTACCAAATGCTGCTGGTCAACACTTAATCATTCCACAAACATTTATTCAGCTCTAGCTGTGTATATGTATGCCCAAGGGCACATGCACAAAACATTATATAGCCCAAGTGGCTTTTTCAGCATGTATGAAATCACTAGTCTTTATTTTTAAAGATCTGTGGTTCCTTAGAAGTAGCTTGAAGGTTGAGAAAGACCTTTGATCCGAGATGTAAATCTGCCAGAACGGCATAATCTCAGCCTCTCTTTGGAGAGGCTTAGGGTGTGGCTGCTGATGGCCAGGTTCTCCTCAGCTCCTAATACCCATGCCCACACCAGGCAGATCCTCATACTCTCCGACCATCTTTGTGACTCTTGGTGGCTTAATTAGATCACAAGTGGCCAAAATCTCTTGTCGAAAGAGTCACATTGGGTTTTTCTTCTGTTCGGTCATTAGGCTACACCAGTCTTGTTCCAGTCCAAACTACCTCTATATAGTGACTCCTGTGCTGGTCTGTTAAATCCTGCCCTCCTTGGTGCTAGACTCCAACTGTGCCTCAGGGCAGAGGAGGCACAACACAGCTATCCTGTTGGCCTCTGCTGTGGTTTGGAAGTTTGTGCTTTCTGTAAGTGCCAGTTAAATATTGACGAGAAAGGAATGTGTACTTGCATGGCTTTGAACCACGACGGAGTTATGAGCCTACTGGATTGAGGTTAAAATCTAAGAATCATCATTTAGAGTTTGTGCTTTTCTCTCATTCCAACCCCTTGTAGTGCCGATACTTTGCATGAGCAGAGTGAGTGACAGGTACTGACAGAGTCCAAAACTAAAATGTTAATAGCCTATTATTGTCTCTGAAGCCAAGGAATAATAAAACCATGAAAAATCAAGTAAGAATCAATGTTAAGTAGTGACTGACCCTGGTGCTCTAGAAATCTTGGCATGAGCTGCTATGAAATACCCTTTCAGGAAGAGGAGACCTCACTGGTCAGGTAAAGAGAAATCAAGGCCAGTTAAGACAAAGTGTTTTGACTTTGACACAGAGAGAAACATCAGTTTGGGATAGGTCTTCAGGCATTCAAGATCGTCTCATGAAAGACTTAAATTCCAGAGATTCGTAAACTCTTGCTGACATATAACCAAGGTTGCCAATGGGAGAAGTTAGTGAAGGAAAAAAATTCTAAATTGCATCTTTCTTCGGCTCTTGGATTGTGTAGTACAGTGATCTCATTGACTTTCATTTCTGTATCCTGGTTCATTCTGAATTCAGTGCCTCACTTTGTTCCTTTTGGAGCCAAATTTATCTTTTCCTCCCTTGCTGTTCACCTCTGTTGGAAACCAGTTTCCCCACTTCTCTGTCCCCTTATTCAGATCTCCCTTCCCCTTTCAGTCTTTCAACCCATGTACCGAGTTTGTTAATTCTCTCTAACCCTCCTGATGCAGGGGACATTGTCATATAGTGGGGATGGATACCACCCAGAGTTTTAAAACGTGATGGAGACTTTTAGCAACTGTCCCCCTGGAATGTCTATAAGGCTGGGTAAAGGGCTCCCCTAGTATCATCCACAGAGTTACAGAATTTTAGGTGCTGTTTCCAGCCTATGCTGGAGGAATACTGAATCCCCATTGCCACAGACAGGGATCCTCTGTGTCCACCAGGAGATTAGAGATTAAGATTTCTTCACTGCTTCTCTGGAGGAGTGTCTGGAATTCCCCTTTCAGGCTGTGGGGCACTGGTTAGGTTCTAGCCACAAGGAGCTAGAAGGGGTGGGGGCAGGGGGTACACTCTCATGTCATTTAATTTTGATCCTGCCCTCTCCTGCTGCTGCTTTCAGAAGATACATATAAAGATACAAAGTCTGCTTTTGATATAATGCCTTAATCACTGGGTCTACATTTAATGTTGACTGTTTTAGATTGTAAGCTCCTGGAGAGCAGTATTGCTGTAGTAGGATTGTATTAACAGTGTCATGAGGAAAGAACAAAATAAATATTTTGATTTTGTGATTCTATGCACGTCTTTCCACCAGAGTGTTCTTAGAATAAGCTACTTTCTTTGTTGTCCACATAGAGTCAGACCATTAGCACCAGTTTTGGAGATGTCAGTCTTTTAGGAGGTACGGGCCCTTTGTTTTTTCATCTCACTCATTCTACTCTACTTACAGTGATAATCTAGCACATGCCAGATCTGCATGTCCTTTTGCACAGAAGCTGGTGTCTTCATGGCTGCAAATATCTCCAGACACCAAGGATACCTGACATTAAAAACTAACTTGTTATATCATAGTCCCCTCCCTCGGTTTATGCCATCAAGCAATAAGATGAGCCTCCGGGAACTTCACCGCCAAGCCTCATGTGCGATGGCCCTGCCTATCCCTTTGATAACACTAGAACGCTGCTGTTGCCTGCCCTTCCTACGGCCTGCAGATAGGCACCTCACCATTCAGCACCACTCCTAGTCTTGGGTTAGTGTGAGGATGGACTTTGGAGTCAAGCACCAGGGTTTCAATCCTGGCTCTACCATCTTCTAGCAGTGTGACCTTAGGCAGGTTATTTTAACCCCTAAGCCTTAGTTTTCTCATTTATAAAAAGGTAATACTATCATTTTGAATTAGGAGCTATGTATGTAAAGCGCTCAGCACATGAAAGGCAATCAGGCCATACTAAATATATTTTCTGATGATGATCATTACTCCAGCTTTCAGCAAAGAGAAAGGTACAATCTTGGTTTAGTATCTCTTCACAAGCACTTGACCATCCTCCTGAGTTTGGACAATCCAGAAATGAACAGTCGTGTCCAAAAATGTGTGCATCTGCAATAAGTTGTCTATTAATGTGGCCATTTTCTCATTCTTTGCCAATAAAACAGCATGGAAATTTCCTGAGAACCACAACCTCCACCTTAACATTCAATCCCTGATATCCCACCATCCTCAGACCCAACAGTGGAAGACTATGCAAGCAGCATAGCAAGGAGTTTAGAAGCATGGGTTCAAGTCTCAACTCTAGTCCTTAATAGCTGAGCATCAGTTTAACCTTCTGTAAAATTAGGATCGACTTCTCATAGGATTAAATGAGATAATCTACATAAAGCACTTAGCACAATGTCTTACGGAGTCCTCTGTGTGGTGGGTCCTGGAGTGGGGGTGGGGAGGAGGGAGTGCAGGAGTAGTGTCTCGTGTTTCTCTGCCTGTTGGTACAGGCTGACTTGTCCTCCATATTGATTTTTGCAGGCTTCAAGATAACAAAATTTTCCTATATGAAGCCTCACTCTGGTTGTATTTTTAAGAGTGTAAAGTTAACCAGAATTGAAGGTCCTAGATAAAACTAGAATAAAGATTTTGTAAGAATTGTTGAAGGAAAATTCTTCTGTCCCTTACTCTGCCACATTCTTATTACCCAGATTTAAAATACCCCAAAAAGGCTGTGTAAAATCCTAAAAGGTGTCTTTTTTAACGATCAGTGTTTCTAGAGGTTCTTTCTACCACAGATAATAGTTGCCTATAGTTGAATTAAATGGCAATGACAGGGCATGGTTTCCTTTATTATCCCATATTATCCCCTAAGCTGTTCTGTTTCTCAGATTGACTGTGAATGGAGAACATTCTTAGTAAAAGAAGGAAAACTGAAATGATTATACTGTTTGGAACATTTCTGTTATTATTTCCCTCTACTGCCTGTCCTCCCAAAATTATACCCACAGGAATTACAAAGTGACTCAGTAAAAAGATTCTAGAAACCAACAACTTGATCAGGTCCACACAACATCACTAAGATCAGTCTCCACAGTAGAGGGGTCTTTGGTTTTGTTCACCAACGTTAATAAATACCTAGAACAGTACCTGCACATAGTAGGCTTGTTGAATAAATGAGTTAAATGAAAATGGGTGATGAGGGTCTTTTAAAGTCTAGTTACCAGTTCTATTACTCTTCATTAAAGATGCTGCACACTGTTCCAAAAATATATTTATTTTTAAAAACAAAAATCAGCCAAGTTTTATAGAGTCAAATTTTCCAGAAACAAACCAAGAGTTTGGATTTCAGCTTAGGATGAAAGTTAAGCTTCAGTAATCTCATGCAGAAGTATTTCTATGCAGGAGGTAAAACAGTCTGCTTAACTATAAGCACCCAGTTCTCTAAATCTTGTTTGTACTTCATTCTATCCATTCCAGGACTCTGGCACTCAAGGTCATCCACCTCTAAAATTCAAAACTTCCAAATTGAGATGAACGACTGTTGGGCTTGGGTTGGGGTTTGTAACCAATTCGATCATGAATCATTTGCTCCCGACTCTTGGGGTCGTTGCCAAGACCCACAGCACCTTCCCCATCGCTGCCTCCTACAACTTCCACATCTTCTTTTTGTTTCTTACGGGTCTGAAAGCATAAGAGTTTTTGGATTAAGGCAACATTCTTTCCATTAACAAATATTTGACCTATTTGAGAGCAATTCAGGAGGGAGGGGCCTGACCACCAAGTACTTGGTGCAGGAAAAAGGACAGTGTTGAGGTCTTTGGGACAATAAACCGAAATCCTAGGTTTAGATGGTTAGGGGCAGAGTGAAGGTACAGGGACAGGGTGATAAAAGATGTAACCCCTACACTCCAGGATGTCACACTCTAACAAGGAAATAGGTAAACAGATAATTGCAACATAGAGTGACCAGGGCTATGACAGAGAAACCCAAACAGCTAAGAGACATGAGGAGGCAGGGAGTTGAGTCTGTAATGATGGATGTTCAGATCTCTAACAGCTGCAGCTGGAAAGAAACAAGAGTTAGCAGACAAGGGAAAGAGGGCAGTGTTTCAGCAAATAGAGGATAGAAAAATAAAGTGACTGGTGAAACAACCACTAGAAATTTACAGCCTGATTGACACTATGAGGTTAAAAGTAACACAAAAATAAAAGGTGTGTGCTATCTTATCAAATGGCCTGAGCTAGGGGATTTCATTTTGTATTCAGATCAAAGGTTCAGCCCTTAAATGACAGGTGAATATAGAATTCACAAAGTCTACTTCTCAGTTCAATTATTTTTAGAGACACTAACACTTACCTCATAACTATATTACCTGGCTGTAAAGATATTAGATGATAATAACTTTCTCTATGACTGTGTACAGATGTTTTATCTAGAGTTTCTTACTAGAAGAATGGCTCAACTAACCACTGGAGTCGCTGCCATTCTTTTTTTTAATTTTTTTATTTATACAAGAGCTGGAGTACAGGCTAGAGGCACAGGAGGGTGAGAGGATTCACCAGAGACAGAGCAGGGAGCAGAACAGGCAGGCAGACCGAAAGCACTGCTGAGGGGAGCAGCAGGCGAGACAGGAGCAGTCTGCCGAGCCATGTGGGTAACTCCCCGGCCGGCCGGGAATTGAACTGGCATTGCAGAGGCTGCAGACAGCTCCACAGCACTGCGGCAACCTGCTGTACTCTTTACCATTTACTGTTGAATTGTCAGCACTTACATGTCAATGTCAAAGTAGTACAGTGAATTCAATAAAGTGGTTTTTTTTTTTAAGATTTATTTACTTATGCATACAAGAACTGGGTACAGGCCAGAGGTGGGGATGGTGGTGAGAGGATTCAGTAGAGATAGAGTGGGGAACAGAACAGGCAGAATGACCAAAGTACACTGCTGAGGGGAGCAGTAGGCGAGTCAGGAGAGGTCTGCAGCGCCATGTGGGTTGCTCCCTGGCTGGCCGGGAATCGAACTCATGCTGCAGTGGCTGCGGATAGCTCCATAGGTTGTGTCTTAACCCTTGCGAGGCCCCAATAAAGTGTTAATTCACGTTTGTGTGCACATGCATGCAATGGCCTTCCAAAGTTACTCTCTGGTGTATATTACCAATAAGTAACATGAGAAAGTTGTACCCAAATAACTTGGTGAAAACAAGTTCTTAAAGGCAAATAATACTATAATTTTATAAATGAGAAACTCTCAAAGTATCCAAATAGATCCCACTGTGAACAACTGCTGATTGTTTCAGAATCTAGAGTCTTCATAATGTAATTGAACCAATTTCAGTAATAAAATGGAATACCAGTTCTCTACTGCTCTCATTGTTCAGGGGAAGACTGCCTTTCCTCTCCCAAGTTGCTCTAAAACGGGTCAAACCCACTGGATAACTGCCTTTAGTAGAAAGACTAACTCAATAATGAGTTGATTTTGCAGTGTCAAAATTCAGTATGCTAGTGCTTTGAGACTCATTACAACTGAAGTTTAAACCATACTTGAAGTCATCCTTAATAAGATATTATCAATGAGTTTTTGAAAAGCAAAAATTATGATGCCTTAGAGAAAATTAAAGTCTCCTAGGGTGAGGAAGAGTGGGGGAAATGTAAGTTACTTGTCTTAACAAGAAGCATCTGCAAAACAAACCACCATGTTCATGGACAGGTAATGTCCTCTGCCATAGAGTACAAAATATCTATTGGGCTAGCAAATGAAAACAGACTGGTATTGCACACCTCCTATAGGCCTGGAACTGCAGGAACAGATGCAGGAGCATATGGCCCAGTGTGAGAAAACAGAAAAACAGACAACTGTAACAGTGATCAGCCCAAGGAGAGTTGAACCTAACGCAGTGGGAGACAGGTCGTCAAGGAAAACTTCTGGACGAAGCCAAGTTGAAAGGAGAGTAGAAGTTAATCTGCTAAAGAAAGGAAAAAGGCATTCCAGGCATGGGGGACATAGTGTACAGAGAAGCTCAGATTAAAGGTAAAGAAAACTCAGCAGTGGAAGATAAAGTGGAATGATAAGCAAGGACCAGGTTATAAAGGGATGTTTATGCCATTCTAAGGAATTTGGACTTTATTCTGAAGGTCACTGAAGAATTTAAGGTTTATTAATATACCTCTAATACTGTGGACTATGCTAAAAATACATATATTTAGCTCCTACTATGTACTAGTTGCTGGTGAAGAACTCAAAGGTAAAGAAGACACAAAATTTCTATAATCAGGCTCCTAAAGTAAGAGGTTTCACAATATGGAAATCATTGTAAATTATAGTAAATGCTATGAGATAAAGTGCTTTGAGAAACCAAAATGAGATGGAAGCAGCAAGGAGAGGAGTGAGACCCTAACTTAGGGCAGTAAGAGGCCCTGCAGACCAAGGAAGTGACCTATGAACTGAGACATGAAGAAAAGGGGAAAACTCTAGGCAGGGAAATAACAAACAGCATGGAGGAAAGTAGGTGCATTTGGGGTACAGAGGGCAAGGAAAAGAGGGGCCAGAACACACAAAATCTTGTAAGCTACAATAAGGAGTTCAGATTTTACTCTAAGTACAGGAAACCACTGAAATGCTTTAAAAGGGCATGGATGGCATGATCTCAAAATTTTTCCAGATCATTGTAGACACCTGATGATGAACAGTGGATTAAAGAGACAAAAATGGAAAGAAAAAGAACACTTAGGAGCTACTGAAATTATACAAAGAGATGACAGTTAGGGTTAGACTAGGGTTGTAACAGTGAAGATGAAGTGGTATGGGTAGATTGTGGAAATATTCTGGAGGTAGAATCAAAGGGTTTAGGGTGAAGGAGAAGAACTCAAGAATGACTTCTAGGTTTCTGGATTAAACAACTGCATTGATACTGAGATGGGGAACACTAGGGTGGAACTGGCTTGAGGAAATTTTTTGTACTGATATGTGTAATAGGTTGAATAATGAGCCCCAAAGCTACCAGGCCATAATCTCTAGAACCTATAAATGTAGCTTTATGTGGGAAAAGGCTCTTTGCAGGTATGACAAAATTAAGGATCCTGCGATGGGGTCATTATTCTGGATTATCTGGGGTCATCACATGTATTTGTATAAGAGGAGGGAGCAGATTTCACAGACAGAAAAGAAGACAATCTGATCACAGAGGCAGATATTAGAGGGATGCAGCTCCCAAAAACTGGAGAGGCAAGGAAGAGATTCTCCCTAGAACCACGGAAAGGAGAATGGTCTGTTAACACCTTGATCTTGGACCAGTGAGATTAATTTCTGGTCTAAGAACTGTGAAAGAATAAATTTCTACGATATTAGACCACCAAGTTTGTGGTAATTTGTTATAACAGTCAAAGGAAGCTAATAGTGGGTTAAGTCTGAGATACCTATAGAGCAGCTAAATAGAGATTTCAAATACGCTGTTTTGTATACAAAGATTCTGGAGATCAAAAGTTAGAGTTAGTATTTAAAATATTCCTAAGGGTTTGAAAGCTTACCTCCAGATCCTTTCGAATGCTCTCGAACTCCTCAATATCATCAAGCTTCAGCTCCAGGCGTGTTGGTTTCCGTCGCAGCATACTGAAATCACCCCTAAAGGCTAGATCCAGTGAACTACTAGCTGTTAAAAGTGATAGAGGGTGAAAAAATAGAGGACAAATCTCAGCCACAAATATAAGGTCAATTTGTAAGTATGCACGTTAAAATGAATGGTGATTCAAAAGACTCATCTGGATTCACATACAGTGCGTATGATTATCACACTGCATGATGGAGAGCTACAACTCTATAATCCAAAAAAACTTATTCTTCAAGACCTTAAAGTAGCTAGCTGCCTATAAAAGAATTCTAAGCAACAATCATTTTAATTTCATGCTCCAGTCACAAAGAAATATTCTACAAGAGGATAAAATTAAAATAACTGAACTAAAATATCTTAATTCAGTTAAGTTACTGGGAGAGTATGGATGCACTTAACTTTGATCAACTCTATAAGAGAATTGTGAGATTAACAATCACTCCCAAATGATAAAATCAGGACAAAATCTCATGAAAACTCCCTCTAACTCACCAATTCACAGGGTTCTCAGGCTTGTCTTTCCTGAATGGACAGGTCATTCACTAAGCACTTCTTCTGCACCACCTACAGGGTCAAAGGGCACAATACCGTCTGTGGGGAAAACAAGTAAACAGAAAACTTCAATATAGTGTAGTAAGAACTCTGATGAGGGCCCTCCCTGGTGGCACAAGCAGTTAAACACCACACTGTGAAGCTGTCCATCCCTGGCCGGTCAGGGAGCTACCCACATGGTGCAGCCAGAGGACCTCTCCGCTGCTCCCCACAGCAGTCAATCTGCCTGTTCTGCTCCCCACTGTCTCTGGTGAGTCCTCTCAGTATCCCCCACACACACACCTCTGGCCTGTACCCCGGTTCTTTTATGCACAAAATCTTTAAAAAAAAAAAAAAAAGGAACTCTGATGAATCCAGCCTGGGTTGAGTGTGGGAGGGCAGGGACATGGAAGATTTCCTGGGGTGGTATTTTAATTGATTTGTGAAGCACCAGCTCACAGGTTCTTGAGAGCACTCCAGAATCTTAACCAAGACAATGCCTATGTAAACAAAAACCTTCATTCTGAGAAGAAAATAGAACTTCCAACTCGGTTTATAATCTGTTGAGGGCAGGGCCTCCCTGGTGGTGCAAGGGGTTAAGCACCTCACTATGAAGCAATCCAAAGCCTCTGCAGCAAGAATTTGATCCCTGGCCGGCCAAAGAGCAAACCACATGGTGCAGCAGACCTCTCCTGTCGCGCCCGCTGCTCCCCTCAGCAGTGTGTTTCACTCAGTCTGCCTGTTCTGTTCCCCAGTCTATCTTGGGTGAATCATCTCACTCCCTGCAGCTCTGGCCTGTACCCCAGCTCTTGTATGCATAAATAAATAAATCTTTAAAAAAAAATCTGTTGAGGGCAACCTCTTAATGTTCTCCACAGGTGTAGGGGGTACTACAGATGGTAAGAGTCAGCAAATATCTTGCTGAATAAAATAAGAGATCTAAGTAAAGGGAAGTGAGCTTTCCTTGTGCACTATGCATGCTTTTCCTTTCCCATTCCTTACTTTTCAATTTTTTTTTAAATCTTTTTTTTAAAGATTTATTTATTTATTTTATTTATTTTAAAGAGGCATGAATTTTTATTTATTTATTTATTTGTTTGTTTGTTTATACATGCACTGGGTACAGTCAGAAGCGCGGGAGGGTGAGAGAATTCACCAGAGCCAAGGCGGGGAGCAGAGCAGGCAGAAGGACCGAAGTACACTGCTGAGGGGAGCAGCGGGCGGCAGGAGAGGTCTGCGCGCCATGTGGGACCCTCACCCGGTGGCCAGGGAGCAGCTGGGGATTGAACCGGTGCTGCAGAGCCTGAGGGCAGCTTCACAACCCAGCGCTCAACCGCTGCGCCACCGGGGAGGCCCTTACTTTTCAATTTTAACACAAGAATCCTGTGAAGTTGCTAAACCCATCCCTATTTTATAGATGAAGGGGAAGCTGGTGGATTTGGTTAAGAACTATCAATCTATAAAAATTATACACAGCTTACATGGTGAAAATAATAACGAGAATGATGTGAGTGAAAGTTCTAAAACATGTGCAGACAAATTAGTACAGGTATCTAGATGTAACTAGGACTGTGAAGTACGTAATTGGAAGAAATTTTTTCTTCAATGATGCTTGGAATGGGTACTGGCGATGTTATGAACACACAACAGACACACTACATTTGAAATTGCTTTATACCATTTCAGAGTCTACCTTGATGCCAGTGTAGACGTATGGTAGAGGAAGCCAAAATTCCCAGGGAGTATAGGAGAAAAAGGATGCTTAAAAGAAAAAAATGCTAGGGTGGTGCAAAGGGTTAAGCACCGCAGTATGAAGCAATCCGAAGCCTCTGCAGCACAAGTTCAATCCCCAGTGGGCCAGGGAGCAACTGACATGGGGCAGCAGACCCCTCCTGTCCTGCCTGCTGCTCCCCTCAGCAGTGTATTTCAGTAGATCTACCTGTCCTGTTCCCCACTCTGTCTCTGGTGAATCCTCTCACCCCCGCATTTCTGGCATGTACCCCAGCTCTTGTGTGCATAAATAAATAAATGTTTTTTTAAAAAAGAAAAGAAAAAACCGCTAAATTTTAACTTTTTTGGTCGGCTGAAGAACTCGCCACTAGGGGCCAGTAATGAGCACCGGATAACGCGCTGGCTTTGGAGGAGAAGGGCCAGAAAACATAATCTAAGCTCAACCACCATTGATTTTGGCCAATTAGCTTCGTCTTACCCTAGATCTTCATTTCCTCGTCTGTAGCTGTACTTTGCAGTACAGGCTGAATGAGGTACTGCCAAGTAAGTTCCTTGTACGTACCTTGTCATTTAATAAACGGCAACATCCGTAATTATTATCACTGTCCTTGGGGGAGGAAAGGGGCCTCTATCCAGCTGGGGAAAGCATCACTGTTTTCATCATCTCCACCCCCAACATAGGGCAAAATTCTGGTTAACTGCTTATGTCCCAGCACCCAGCGCAACACTGGGACGGGCAGACATGCTTGTCAGTATTGATGCCTGCGTGCAATTTACCTGACGCCTTCACATCCCTCACCTCACCCTGAATCAAACACAAAGACAACAACACAAGCAGGCCTTGGCTCTCTGCCGGGTCTTTATTTTACTTTGGCGCTCTAGAAGGTACTTGGAGCTCAGTCTCGGGCCAGCCCAAGCCAAGAAAATGCTGCCAGCTCAGGGGACGCTTCCGGGAGAACCTGCCCACACCGGGCAAGGGGAACAGCGCCCCTTCCACAGCTCCAGAGAGGCGCTCACCCCGTCCCGGGCGAGGGTTTCCATGGCAACATGACCCTCCGCCCCACTACCTGGCACGTAAAGATCTCGGGGCTGGGAGCCACCGCAGGCCCGGAGCCCTCGATTTGCTCCAGGGTTCAGCCTGGGGCCGCGCGAACTCCACGCACCTACCTCTTCTCGATCTTGCTCAACTCCTCCCCGGAACCTCGGCGCCCACCCGGGATCGTCGGCTCCGCGAGCCGGACTACACTTCCCAGATGGCTCCGGGCTTTGCTCCTCGCAGAACTTCGCGCTTGGCCCCGAGGCTCTCGAGTCCTCTCCGAGCGCCCAGACGCGTCCCTACTACGATTCCCATCATGCTCCACGACGCCCAGGGCGCTGCGTCCGCTCTCGGCTCACTTCCGGCCGGTGACGCAGTTCCGCTTTTCTGGGCGCGCGGTGGACGGTCTGGGACGTAGAGCTCCGCTATCGCCGGGGCTTGGCGGCGCGGGAGCCCGGCATGGCTTCCTCACGAGCCTCCTCCACGGTACAGATCGCAGCCCACGCTGGCAGGGAACGCGGGGCGGGGGGGGCGTCCCTGCGGGAGGGGCCGTTAGGAAGCGGGGCAAGGCGGTGGAGGACTGGAGGAAGGCGAGACTCGGTCTTGTCTTCATCGAGCAGCGTTTTCCGAATCCCTGAGGGCTTTCTTGTGCTTTAGCTCATTTGCACTTCTCCACACGACCCCGAGCGGTAACCACCTCTTCCCACGAGTCCAGGAACACCTCTGAAAGAGAGAAGGGTCTTGGTCCATGATTTAGGTCTATGTCAGACCTTCTAAATGTAAGGAGGCCTCCTAAGTGCTTATCTGCTGTTTCTCATCTGGAATCGTCTGAAATGTATGGAGCAGTAACTTTGCAACTTGTTCCCCTTTAGTTGGTTATTTCAGTTATCCTTCATCATTCCCCCGTGATGAGCCATAACCCTGGCCGTTTCATAAAACTCAAGAAGAGATTGCACTTTTATTTGAATGAAGTAAACATGTTTCAGAGTTAACCTTTGGTAGAAATATTACCCAGAGGAGTTAATTCGTGTTATCAGCCTCTTTCTGTCTGCAAAAGTTAAGGGAGTGAGAGAATGAACCAACACCACCACCCCAAATCTGTGCACACGCATCTTAACTGGCATCCAACTTGTCCTTTTCTTTGTGGAGAAATAGGATTGAAGTTAAGAATAAGCTTCATCCTTCAGGAAAGCTTAGTAAACTGCTAAGATGAAGTCTTAGATTAATTCAGGTCTTTGATTTAGCAGGCAACCAAAACTAAGGCACCAGATGACTTAGTCGCTCCTCTTGTGAAGAAACCGCATATCTATTATGGAAGTTTGGAGGAGAAGGAGAGGGAGCGTCTTGCCAAAGGAGAGTCTGGGATTTTAGGAAAAGAAGGACTTAAAGCAGGAATTGAAGCTGGGAATATTAACATAACCTCTGGTAAGATGCAAAGTGTGAACCCCTCTTTACCCTCAGTGCTCAAATTTCTGTATTGACTATCTAAACTTAGAAGCATCAAAATTATTCCATTTTTAAACTTGTATTCTGTAAGGCTATACTTTCCCTACCTTGCTTAGACTCGCCTAGTCTTTTTCTTAAAACCTTTTGAAAACAGGGCCTCCCCTGGTGGCGCAGAGGTTGAGTGCTGGGCTGTGAAGCTGCCCGCAGCCTCTGCAGCACCGGTTCCATCTCTGGCCGCAGGTGAGGGTCCCATATGGCTGCAGACCTCTCCTGCCACGCCCTCTGCTCCCCTCAGCAGTGCATTTCTTCATCAGTCTGTCTGTTCTGCTCCCAGCTCTGGCTCTGGTGAATTCTCTCAACCTCCCGCGCTTCTGGCTGTACCCAGTGCTTGTATAAATAAATAAATAAATCTTTAAAAAAAAAACACAAACAGCTTTTTTTTCCATTAGTGGTAGTCATTTGGGTGTGTATTTGGCTTCAAATTTGATTCCATTTGTCTTCTGGAGATTGAGAGTAGATCTAGCATTGATTTGGACTCTATGGCTTATAATATTCTTCCTTTTTTTAGTTTTCCCATTTTCCGCCCATTATAAAATATCTGTTTTAAGTTATAAAAGTAATAGTTTTTATTTTGAAAGAAATCAGTGTAGAACAGTATGAAGTGGCATATCCTGTACCTTCTTAATTTAATCTTTTTTTTTTAAGATTCATTCATTCATTCATTCATTTATTTATTTATTTATACAAGCACTGGGTACAGTCAGAAGTGCGGGAGGGTAAGAGAATTCACCAGAGCCAAATCGGGGAACAGAACAGGCAGACTGACGAAGTACACTGCTGAGGGGAGCAGGGGGTGGCAGGAGAGGTCTGCGCACCATGTGGGACCCTCGCCTGGTGGCCGGGGATCAAACCGGTGCTGCAGAGGCTGCAGGCTGCTTTGCAGCCCAGTGCTCAACCGCTGAGCCACCAGAGGAGGCCCTTAATTTAATCTTTATTTTTCTGAGACTTTCATGATGCTCTAAAAGTACTTATTTTTCCCATAAATGAAGCCATGATATACAAATTGTTTTGTAACCTGCAGTTTTCACTGAATATACTGTTAAAGGTACCTTTCCATGTCAATGACTAGTGTTCATTAATTTTTAAAATAAAATTATACACGTTTGTCATAAGAAATTCAAACATTACAGAAGGCTATAAAGTGAAAAGACCTCTGTAGGAAGGATTTCTGTGAAGTTTCTCATTGATCTTCCTACGCAATTTTTCTCTATACATACACTTTAGTAACTGTTAAAATCATTTGTGATGTTTTAAACATTACTGTATCATCACTGTTCTTGCCATTTTTCATCCAAATGCTTATATCTGAACCTAACACCAAGATGGTTTGGTTTTGTTTTGGTATATTTTTAAATTACTTGCTGGAGGAGCCTCCCTGGTGACGCAGGGGTTAAGTCTCAGCACTATCAAGCTAACACCAGTCAATGCAGCATGAGTTTGATCTCTGGCCAGGGAGTTAACCAACATGGCACAGCAGACCTCTCCTGTCTTACCTGCTGCTCCCCTCAGTGTGTTTCATTCTGCCTGTTCTGCTCCCCACTCTGTCTCTGGTGAATTATCCTGCATCTCTGGCCTATACCCCAGTTCTTGTATGCATAAATAAATAAGAAATAAATCTTTAAAAAAAATAAAAATAAATTGCTTGCTAGAATATCCAAAAAGCCTTATAATTAAATAAACATAATTTGCACAGTAATTATTTATGTAAGTGTCCCTATACTGGGACTATTTAGAGAATAGTTTTGGCAATTGTTAAGATCATGTTTCTACTTGAGCTTCTGAATAGAAGAACTTGCTAAAGATGCTCTATATACTCTTAGTTTCTCATCGTCTAAGCCATGTGTTTATATAAGGTTGCTAAATGAGACAGGATGGCTTGAATCCTTTTCCTGCCTTTTAAAGCTGTGTCATTTAGTAAACTGAAACAAACTATACCTCTAAAGTGTCTAATATTAATAGATTACATGATTAACTTTCTTTGGGGGCATATAAAGACTCCATATCTATTAAATTTTCTCTTGCCCTATCTGAAGATCTGGTATTATGTTAATATTGCCTGGTGGTTGTGGCTTTTTTTTTTTTAATAGGAGAAGTGTTTGAAATTGAAGAGCACATCAGCGAGCGACAGGCTGAAGTACTAGCAGAGTTTGAGAGAAGGAAGCGAGCCCGGCAAATCAATGTTTCCACAGACGACTCAGAGGTCAAGGCTTGCCTCAGAGCCTTGGGGGAGCCCATCACACTTTTTGGAGAGGGTCCTGCTGAAAGAAGAGAAAGGTGCCCTTTCTAAATATTTTTTATTTTTTCATCACAGAGTTCTAGTTCCAAATGTCAGTTATTTGTAGCTAAAACATTTAATAGAACATCTCAGATAATGTTAACAGAGTATTTTATTAAGTGTATATATATATTTTGGCCCATAGTCCGAGTCTTATGCCAGTTTTTACTCCAGTAAGCATTTTTCTTTGTAGGCTGTAAGAGACTTCGAACATCTTTTGTTCCTCTCCCTACCATTTCCAGTACAGGATATTTTGTTGAGTGAACATTTGTTCTTGAACTTTGAAAATTTAGATATCAGATGCTTTCTTCATCAGTGACATGAAATGGTAAATGTTTTTTGGCTTTTGAAGAGGGGGATTGTCTTCAGATAAGGCTCCTCTTGTGCTTTTAAGGTTGCACAGTTTAGTGTCAGACTAGTCATATGCAATTATGAGAACCACCTCTTGTCTTTTTATCCACTTTCAGTCTCTCTTCTTCATCATTAGGCTTCTTGGAAGAGTTAGTTACATTTACCTCTCATTTACCCTTCAACTCACTGCAAAATGATTGATCCCTGCCACATTGAAATGGCCTTTATTAAGGTCATTAACTCATTTTTCCTAAGAATAGCCCCAATTCACTGCCAGCCACTCCATTTTTAAACTTCTCTCTTTCCTTGGCTCTCATAAAACCAAGTACCCCTAATTTTCTTCCTGTCTCGTTAATTCTTCTCACCTTGAAGCCTCTTTTCCTCTGCCTCACCTTTATATACTGTGGTTAAAGAACCACACTTACCTGGAGTGGTCAGATCAGCTCCCATGGGTCATTGTTTACCATAAACCTTCTGGGGACTCCCAGAGCTCTGCAGCTACACATCCCTTAGACTTCAGACTTGACCTGTCTAAATGGAACTTCTCCCTACCCTCTCCTATTCTTGTAAACTTTGATACCCAAACATAATTTTCAGTTGAAAACCTGCCTCAACTCCTTTGTAATTCACCCAACTCCTTTATAATTCACCCATTAGTCTATTCTATTTCTGCAGTGTACCTACAGTGTATCCTGTTTTCTCTTTCTTCTTTTGCTTTTACATCTAGACTGTTGGGATAGCCCCAAACCTGCTGAGTTAATTGCTTGCTAATAATCCTACAGTGTCATACTTGGATAGCATCAGGAGCTCTTTGTGACCTGATCCCTCTTACATTTCTAGTCATCCCCTTACCAATTCTTTTTTTATACTCTGCTCCAGTCATAAGTAAAGTACTTGTGATTCTAAACTTAACATGCTCTTCTTACCTCTAGGGCTTTATGTTTGTTGCATGAGTTGCCTCAGCTGTCCTTCCCCACTCTTGAAATGTTCACCTGACTCTTTCAGGACTTGGTTTAGATAACACCTCCATAAGCCTTCTCTGATCCCAAGCCTACGTTGGGCCCTCCTTTTATGTTCCCCCACCCCATCTTCTACTACCACTGTCATACTAAATATTCTGTACTGTAGTTCCTTAATACTTTTTATCTCTTTACCACCACCACCCTGGCTGGGCTACTTGAAATCAAGACTGTTTCTTAGCTGTTACGTACCTAGCACCTGGGTCACCATACAACACATTGTGGCATAGAGTGAAGGTTTGCTCTCCTGGCAGAGCGAATGGTAGCTGTCCAGGTGCTAGTTGATTCAACGTTGAGCAGGATAATTGCTTATAGTTCAATTTAGGGAATCTTCACATACAGAGGATTGAGGGAAAGGAATGACAGTGGAAGTTTAGGCATGACATTTTGACTCTTAAATGAAGGAAGACACTTGCTTGGGGCTTTGATGATAAGAAAGGAAGAGAAGTTTCCTGTTTTAGATGTACTTTTATACTGTCTCATCTCAACGCTGATTAAATTTTAATCTTTTCTGTTATAGGTTAAGAAATATCCTCTCAGTGGTTGGTACTGATGCCTTAAAAAAGACCAAAAAAGATGATGAGAAATCTAAGAAGTCCAAAGAAGAGGTAAAGTATATCTTTGGCTTTATAGTATAAACATGAAGAAAATGAGGGGCTGATTCTCCTTGCTTTGCTTTGATAGGATCGGGGATGGGGGTGTGATGTCTCTGATTTAGAAATAGTTGCTGGCAGTAATATGTGGTTCTTGTGTAGGTATGAATGGAGATGAGTGAATTTTCCATTCAGGAAAAAGCTGTAATATTAGCGGTGTAACTTTTGACAAGGAACCAGAAACCACCTAATAGAAAGAAAACAGTAGAAAACCTGATTTCATCTTATTACAGAATGAATTCACCTTCTTTCTGGGCAGTTGCACTGGAAAATTGAAAGGGAGGGGTGGAGTAGGAAGGCTTTAGACTTAATGTATTTGTTCTTTATTTAACTTTCAGTATCATCAAACTTGGTATCATGAAGGACCGAACAGCCTGAAGGTTGCTAGACTGTGGATTGCTAATTATTCATTACCCAGGTAAGGAGAGCCTCAAGAAAAAAGAAGCGTTTTTCTCTTGTTTCCTTGCAAGGGCTGAGGACCTGCTCTATATGATAAGTGAGATAGACTGGCAGAGACACATTGGACTCATAGTTCCAACCCACTTGCTCGTGGTCATGATGTTGTTTCTGTCACAGGGCGATGAAACGCTTGGAGGAGGCCCGTCTTCACAAAGAGATTCCTGAGACAACAAGGACCTCTCAGGTGCAAGAGCTGCACAAATCTCTCCGGGTAAAATGCTATTTGCAATTTTCCAGTCTCTTACAGTTTCATAAGTGTTTATCAGATTTTATGCTTTGGCATCATGTACCTTTAGGAAGGTAAAGACAGCTAGAATCATTTCTCCCTGCTTGTTCGGTTGCTGTTTGGGAGGAGCCACAGTAAACGTGTCAGGAACTGACTGTGCTTTGTACTCAACAGAAGCCAATGGTTCTGCCTTTAATTCTCCTTTTTACTATGTCAAAACCGTACTTTAAATTTGTCCCTGGTTTTCCTGTTTATGTTTAGTTGACACAGAAGCTAGTGATATTAAGCGTGAGGAAGGCAGCACACAAATTTCCAGATAAGCTTTAACTCCATCCTTTCAGCAATATAAGTGTCTCCTAGTGAGAATCTTGGATTGGGTTAAAACTAAGCTTTTTTTATGGTGGAAAAGCCAGGAAACTTGGATTAACATATTGATGATCGGCATTTGCCTTTTTTTTTTTTTTAAGTCTTTAAATAATTTCTGCAGTCAGATTGGGGACGACCGACCTATCTCCTACTGCCATTTTAGTCCCAACTCCAAAATGCTGGCCACAGCTTGTTGGTAAGTCACATTTTACACTGACTTTTTTCCCTAAATGGGTAATAGGTTCAGGGGGAAAATAATCAGCTTTTGTGTTAAATGTCTGTTTTTATGTCCTCTTCCTCTGCTTCTCAGGGTCACACCAAACTAGAGATACTACTGCTCTGTGCTGGTGTTATACAGTAAAGTCTTTGTGAATACTTCTGATTGTATAAAGGGCCCAGAAATCTATGACATGTAGCAGGCTTGACTCTAGTGTTTTGGAGCAGATCCCATAGCGAGCTTGCAGACTACCCACACCTCGGTATAGCTTCTCTTTTTCAGTTATGTGCCTCAGCAAGATGTTTAATCTCTGTAAACTTCCACTTCCTTCAACTGTAAAGGAAAATGTTTGTAAAGCATTTTGCTATGATAATGCCTGGTAAATGGCAGGGACTCAGTAAACATGAATCATTATTTTTATCTTTATTTTGTTTTCTACTTGTCACCACACATCCAGAAAACTTAAGGATGTGATCAGTTTGTTGTTTTGTTATTTAGTTATTTTTGTGGGATTGACGCAGTGAACCTCCTTGCACAGTGTGCATGGGGTGCTGAACCAGGCAGAAATTGAGACTGTGGGTCAGGAGAGAGCAAGGATGTACACAAATCCACCCACTCTCCAAATTTCAGTTACATTCATTATAAAATAGAAATGATCATTCCTGCCTTATGGACCTCACCAGGTCTATTATAAGCATCATTTGTTATGATAAAAGCATAATTTGTTAAAATATTTCCAAAATAAAAAATCTTTTCGGGCCTCCTCTGGTGGTGCAGCGGTTGAGCGCTGGGCTGCAAACCTGCCCACAGTCTTGCAGCGCCAGTTCGATCCCTGGCTACCGGCGAGGGTCCCACATGGCGTGACAGACCTCTCCTGCCACACCCACTGCTCCCCCCAGCAGTCTATTTCGTCAGTCTGCCTGTTCTGTTCCCCGCTCTGGCTCTGGTGAATTCTCTTAACCTCCCATGCTTCTGACTGTGCCCAGGGCTTGTATAAATAAATAAATCTTTTAAAAAAATCTTTTCAAAACACATACTTTGTAAACAACACAGTGTTCATGTTTAAGAATGTAGTATCGTTGTTTTTAATCTTATAAACTAGCTTAATTTTCTTCCCTTCCTCACAAATTGGTCAGAAGTTAAGGAGAATAGCAACTTGTGCTGTATTAATTAATCCAATGCAGGTCTCTGTGCCTGAGATCTGGAAATAACCCTCCAGATGATGTGCCTCTGATTTTTATTTTTCTGTCTGCCACTGTAAATTTTATTGGGGGTAAGAAGAGATTGTCCTTTAGTAATGTTACCAAGGTACCTTTTCCTTCCCAGACCAACCCTGGCTGAGATGCTTTCCTTTGTATTTGATAGGAGTGGGCTTTGCAAGCTCTGGTCTGTTCCTGATTGCAACCTCCTTCACACTCTTCGAGGTGAGTTACAGACAGTCTTGTTTATAGTTTAGTCTTCTTCCTAGTGTGAACTCTATCAAGCAGTAAACTGTCTGACACTGAGAATCCATATAGTTATTGATTCCATTTAATTGGATTTGGTTTCTCTGACCACAAAGCTAGAAGAGAAGACCTCATTTACATACTATTCTCTCAATTCCAGCATGCTCTGCTATTTTGCAGTCTATATACCAAAAACAGTTTTTTTTGTGTTTGGCCTTTTAAAATAATACATAATTATTAGTTTAAATTAGATTCGTGTTTTTCAGTAGTTGAATAATCACTAATATTCTGCGTTTACATAGCCCCTCATTTGTATCTCCATTATCCATCATAGTCTGTTTTGCAGTTAGGTTATAAGGGGTCGGAACCCTTTAACTTTCATCACTTAACACTCTTTCAGGCCATAACACAAATGTAGGAGCAATTGTCTTCCATCCCAAATCCACTGTATCCTTGGACCAAAAAGATGTCAACCTGGCCTCGTGTGCTGCTGATGGTTCTGTGAAGCTTTGGAGCCTTGACAGGTGAATATATAACTGCTTTGTTTCCAGACTATAGTCACTAAAGTAAAAAATGAATTGGATGGCCCTTGGGACCTGAAAAACTGGCATTTAACCCCAGAGATGCTCTATGAGTCAAGGTAACTTAGTGTGAAAATAGAATGGAGGATTTCTTTCTTCGTTGTTTTCTCACCAGAGGAGTCATGCCAGGTTTTTCTTACTTGTTAACTTTGGATCTTGATTTTTGCATGTTTCCCAGCTACAGTTGTTCTGAAAAGATCCATTGTACCTCCTACGCAATAGATTGACATTGGAGAAAAGCATTCTATGGTAGATGGACTAAAGATTATGTTCTTGGCAGCATGTTGGTTCTTAGCAAACAGCCACAGAGGAAGCAAAACGAGGTCTCTTTGGGCGGTATTATTGCCAGGAAAGAAATGTCCCCCTCCCAACAGCAGCATCTTTGATCCAGACTACATTTTCCAGCTACAAAAGGTTTTGTTGTTTTTTTTTTTCCAGTGTCTTTATGGTTATTGTTTTCCAAGAAATTTTTGGAAGCACCTTGCTGACTAAAAGACATCTGAATTCAATGGCTTAGTTGTCTTTCTTTGGGAAAGCACCTGAGGCTTTTATTCCAGGATTTTGTAAATGGCTCATTAGTCTCTTCTCTTAGCCAGACAGGATTTTACCTGTGAGCACAGTAAATTTTATTTGGCTTTGGTAATACTTAGCAATATTTGTTCCCCTCGGGCTTTGATTAGTGCTCTGTGTGCACATTGACAAAGTTCCCTTTTTAATTGCCCTCTTTAGGGTTCATGTTTATTTCCTTTCATTGGTGTTTCAGATCTCCTGTTGCTGGGTTGTAGAATATAATGGCCATTGAAAGGAAACTAAGCCTCTGTCTACTTAGGCGTTCCTTTATCTGTGTAGCTCCTTGAGCACATTAAAATTTGAGCAAGATTCAGCTGTAATCCTCTTGTCCCCAAACTGTTTATTTCTGTAACCTTCCACCTCTATCAAAATACCTTTTCTTTTTAGAATCCCCATACTGCTTTGGTGCAGAGAGACTTTTGCTTGTCAGGTTAAAGTATCTTTTGTTTTTTTCTCTAATCCTGAAGATAAAGCCTTAAAAATGCATTCAATTTTTGAAGTGACTTAAATTAGTATGAGACCTAAATTCTAACAAATTTCAAGTTATAATATGATCTCTCAAATCACAGAGTGGGTTCATCTATGCACAACAGCTAATAAATTTGGTGAATGTATATTTAACTGTAGACTAGTTTACTCAAATATGTTTGATTCCTTTTCAGTGATGAGCCCGTGGCAGATATAGAAGGCCATACAGTGCGTGTAGCCCGTGTAATGTGGCATCCATCGGGACGTTTCTTGGGTACCACCTGGTAAGCCATTTTGTTGTTCTATTGGTGCAGACCAATGGCATCTTGTTAACCTTTTTGGTTTAGCTGCCATATAAAATTTTTGAGTACATGTCTTTACTTAGACTGCAGTAAATCCAAATCAAAAGAGAATATATGATGCAGTTAGGGCTAAGAGCATTTGCATCTAAATTGCAGTTCATCTGACATTTCAAAGTCACTAATGGCCAGAAGACTAGTTTTTACTCTTCCCTTTCTTGACCAGTACTGGAGGTGTATATGTGCTTTGCTACACATCGTATTATAATTTCTCTGTTTACGAATCAGATTCCCCTCTGTTTCTGACACTTCAATGAGGCCAGACTCTTAAAGAACTTTCTGTTTGAGGTACAACTTAGAAGCAGTGGAATGAATTGATTTCACTTAGTCTTGACAGATAAATGCATACACTCGTGACCCACATCCTTGTCACCAGAACGTGTCCCTCTCCCTGGGAGGCGCTCTCATACCCTTTCTTAGTCACCTCCCCCTTCTAAAGCTACCATAGATTGAATGTCTGTTACCATGAATTAACTGTGCTTGCCGTGTGAACTCATTTGTGTCTGGTTTCTTTTACTCGGCATAACGTTTTTAAGATTTGTTCATGTTGTTGCGTGCTTTGGTAGCTCCTTCTTATTGCTGAGGAGTATTCAGTTTTATAACTGCTGTGTTTTGTCTCTTTTTTTTTTTACTTTTAGTAAAGACATTCATTCATTGTTAACATTTTTTTTAAGTTTATTTTTACATGAATGCCATGATTTGTTTTGTTAATCCATTTACCTACTCAGACACGTAGTTTCTAGGTGTGGGCTGGTCAGAATAAAGCTGCTATATATGTTCTTTTATAATGCTTTTTGTGGTCATGTTTTTACTTTCTTTTGAATCAATACCTAGGAATACAGTTGCTATGCCATAGGGTAAATGTTTATTTAACTTTCAAGTGGTCTTCTGAGGTGGTTGTACTGCTTTCATATTTCTAGAATTCTGGGTTATTCACTTCCTTGACAGTGTTCAGCATTACCATTTTGCTCAATCTAGCAGGTGTATACTGGGATCTCATCATTTAAATCTTCATGATCTTCATGACATTTGGTGCTGGGGACTTTGTCATTTGTTTCCTGACCATTTGTATGTCCTCTTTTGTATAGTATTCATGTTTAACCCATTTTTTTTCTTGAGGGTTTTTTTGTTTGTTTGTTTAGTTTTTATTTCCACTTGCTAGACAATTCTACCACCACCTATTAGAGAGACTTTCCTTACCCTATTTAATTGCTTTGGCACCCTAGTGGAAAATTGCTTGATCTTATAAAGATGTAGTTTTGTTTTTAAGATCTGTTCCTGATGATCAAGCTGTTTATGAATGACTTTTGTATTCCCAGCATCCACTTCAGAGCCCAGTAAATGTGTAAATGCTCAGTGGATGAAAGGACATGATGGGATTGAGGAAGGAAGAAGGTAACAGAATTTTTTTTTAATTTTTTTTTATTTTATGTATTTTTTACATCATTTTTCATTTTTACACAATGTATGCATTTTCTATCTTGGTTATAGTCCCCATACAATTCCCACCCCCCTTGTTTGATCCTACTCCCTCCTCCCCCACCCCCACCCCCGGTAGTATGTCTTTGGTTTATAGTTGATTGTTGATTTTGATTTTTACTTTATTATAATTAGTCTTTTTCCTGGTCCCTTATTTAGGTTTTCTAAATTCCTGCTATGATGAGACCATCTGGTATTTTTCTTTTTCTTTCTGGCTTATTTCACTGAGCATGATCCCTTCCAGCTCCATCCATGTTGCTGCAAATGACATGAGTTTATCTTTTTTGATTGCTGAGTAATATTCCATGGTGTGTATGTACCACTTCTTCTTGATCCAGTCATCTATTTTTGGGCATTTGGGTTGTTTCCATAGCTTAACTATTGTAAACAGTGCTGCTATAAACATAGGGGTGCAGGTGCCCTTTTGAATTAATGTTTCTGTGTCCTTTGGGTAAATACCTAGGAGTGGAATTGCTGGAGCATATGGAAGCTCCATCTTTAGCAGGCTGAGGAATCTCCACACAGCTTTCCATAGTGGTTGGACCAGTTTGCACTCCCACCAGCAGTGCAGGAGAGTTCCTTTTTCTCCACACCCTCGCCAACATTTGTTGTTGCTAGTTTTTTTAATATGTGCCATTCTCACTGGTGTAAGATGGTATCTCATTGTTTTGATTTGCATTTCCCTGATTGCAAGTGATGTTGAACATTTTTTCATATGCCTATTGGCCATTTGCATTTCCTCTTTGGAGAAATTTCTTTTTAGCTCTTCTGCCCATTTTTTGACTGGATTATTTTCTTTGTTTTTGTTGGGTCTCGTTAGCTCTTTGTAGGTTTTTGTTTGTTATCAGTCCTTTATCATTAGTGTTGTGTGCAAAAATTTTCTCCCAATCAGTGGGAGATTTTCTCCAAGCGTGTCTCTTTGTTTTGATTACTGTCTCTTTTGCTGTGCAGAAGCTCTTTAATTTGATGTAGTCCCAGCTGTTTACCTTTGGCTTCACTATCACTGCTTTGGGTGATGTGTCTTTAAAGATGGGTGACAGAATTTTTGCTGGGCTTTCCTTGGGGAAGGCTTAAAATAACCACCAAGGTAGGTTTAGGTTTAGGAGTCCCCTGGTTCCTCAGTTAGCACCTAAGACACGTGGGCTTAGTTGTTGAGATATTATTTATCTCAGAAAGGAGTTTTTCATTAATACAGTTGTATGTATAGTTCCAGAAGCATAACTTAAGCTGTAGCTATTTCATGTGCCTTGTACATTGCAGGAACTGAATGGATATCTGTGGGTTAATTGTTAGTTTGGTTTTTCAGCTATGACCGCTCGTGGCGCTTATGGGATTTGGAGGCTCAGGAGGAGATCCTGCATCAGGAAGGCCACAGCATGGGTGTGTATGACATTGCCTTCCATCAAGATGGCTCTTTGGCTGGCACTGGGTAAGGCTTCTTCCACTACTCGCAGGGCAACTAGTAGTCCTGTTTCTTATATATGCCTATTTCCGAGATAAAGTGATTCAGAAGGTCCATTTGTGAATTATTTTACCAGGGGACTGGATGCATTTGGTCGAGTTTGGGACCTGCGCACAGGACGTTGTATCATGTTCCTAGAAGGCCACTTGAAGGAAATCTATGGAATACATTTCTCCCCTAATGGGTAAAATAAGTTCACTGACAGAGGGGTGGAGAGGTTCTTGGTTGGAAGTACTCTTTGTCTTTAACTTCAGTGTATGTCTGACCCATAGCTACCACATCGCAACTGGGAGTGGTGACAATACCTGCAAAGTGTGGGACCTTCGACAGCGGCGCTGTGTGTATACCATCCCTGCCCATCAGAACTTAGTGACTGGTGTCAAGTTTGAGCGTAAGCATCCTTCCTGTTTTAGGGCTAATCATGAGATGGGCCAATCGTATTTCCATGACATGCAGATCAGGCTTCAGCTTAATCTGGAAGTGGAACAGGAGAGAATTTGGACACTATTGAAGAAGCAAATTATAATTTCTTTCCATACTTTTAGACAGAGCATGCTGCTACTTGCTAAGAAGTAAAGAAGACTTCCCTGAATGTTTTCCTTTAACATTTTTCTTGATGAAAGTTATAAGCACTGAATCCTTAATATTATTCTGAACAGGTTTCTATCAGGGAAGGAACCAAAAGACCTTAATATAATTTGTTCCCCAAGTTTGTAGTTGTCCACTTTTCCTGGAGACCTAGTAGGAGTATAGATTGGAGTGTTAGGTCTTTCTGAATGAAAAAAGACCTTTTTCAAAATAGTATGTTCTAGCAAATTTGGGGGCTTTTGTTTGCTGTTTTGAATTCCTTAAGCAACTCCTATTGTTTTCTCTTGTAGCTATCCATGGGAACTTCTTGCTCACTGGTGCCTACGATAACACAGCCAAGATCTGGACCCACCCAGGCTGGTCCCCACTGAAGACTCTTGCTGGCCATGAAGGCAAAGTGATGGGCCTAGACATTTCTTCTGATGGGCAGCTTATAGCCACTTGCTCATATGACAGGACCTTCAAACTCTGGATGGCTGAATAGGCAGGACCATTGACAGTGGACTCTAATCTTAAGCTCTCCCTTACGAGCCATTTTTAAGACAAAGGAATTGAAGTGTTTTTGTTCTATCATGTTTTTTGCCAATTACCATGTATAGACCCTCGATAGAATTGGATTTCCATGTCAGCCCCCACTCCAGGCAGGCAGCCATGTCCCTGGGTATTGATGAACCCTTTTCATGGTTGAAATTTTAATTTCCATCTTTAAGCCCTGCCACGAACTGTGTAGACATTGTTTTTATTAATCTTTTGTTTCAGTGCCCTGTTGCCTCCCTCACAGCACTCAGGATTGTGACTGACTCCATTTCTAATCCTTGAAACTTGACTTACATGGTAGATTTTCTGGACTATATGTCAGCCACAGAGCAAGGCAGCTGGACTATAGCCGGAAGCCCTCAAGTAAAGAGGCACATCTCAGCACACACTGGTTCAACAGTACCTAGCAGAGCGAGAATTTTCCTCATGATAATGGGAGGTGAAGCAATAGACCACAGCTATGCTCAAGATTATGCAGTAAAGAAAAATTTACCTCTTTCTTTTGTGTTCACTTGGAATGCTCATGACTGCATCAGGACGCTCAGAACTGAACATTCACCTTGTCAGAAAATGTCTTCCATTTTGCTTGACATCGTTGGTGTTACCCCAGAGCTAGGCCATCTGTCAAGTTTCAATGAAAGTTTTAGAAAGCAAACATGTCTATGTACAGTCTCCTCTCTGTTGGTTATTTAAAGAATTTACCCTTCATGTTGCAGTAACTTCAAAAAAAATCATTACTTGGTATGCCTGACATCAACTTTTTTTTCTTTATTACACAGTTGCTGCAGAGTAAAACCCTGGTATAATCCTTTAAAAGAATTTTCTGAATCCAGCCATTAGTCCAGAGAGGTTCCCTTTTTTTTGGTTTGAGATAAAACAAATGATCTCAAATATGACTCAGTCCGTTTTCCATGTTCTTAGTAAGCACTCTGTTCATTTCTTAACAAACAGAAAACTCTTGCATTGTGGGCCTGAGAACCAGTGAACTGTATAGAGTGACTTATATCACTGTAATCATCAGCAAGGCAGCAATGACCTTCTCCTCTTTCCACCAGAAATGTATAACCACTGAAGTGTCAAAGTACCCAGTAAATGCACCCATAAGTACAGGAATCAAAGAAAGGATTTAGAGAATTCAAGAAGGACTCAGATACGGCTTCTCCTTGAATGTTTGAAATACTTCATTTGTTCACAGAGGCCGAGAGTAGCTTTGTCCAGCTCTCTTCTGCAAACTTCAGAATGTGTGATACATGGTTAGATGTTCTGTGTAATTTGATTTCAGTATATCATACTGTTTATTTGTTAAAGCTTCTGAATTCTTCACTCTACCCTCTTTTGGGCATTTCCCTGCTTAGGTATTAATAGACTTTATTTTCCTCAACAGTTGGCTATGAAAAGAAATTATTTTTCAATATACTTTGTATATGTGTAGGACAGTGATGAACACAGCATATTAGCACACAATTAGGATACAGTGTGCTCACAAAAGTTTTGTTTTTCAAGTTTTGTTTTTTTTTTTTAAATAGAGGCATGTTTTATTTGTTTGTTTGTTTGTTTGTTTGTTTATACAAGCACTGGGTACAGTCAGAAGCGCGGGAGGGTGAGAGAATTCACCAGAGCCAGAGCGAGGAGCAGAGCAGGCAGAAGGACCGAAGTACACTGCTGAGGGGAGCAGTGGGCGGCAGGAGAGGTCTGCGCGCCATGTGGGACCCTCCGGTGGCCGGGGAGAAGCCGGGGATCGAACCGGCGCTGCAGAGGCCGCGGGCAGCTTCGCAACCCAACGCTCAACCGCTGCGCCACCGGGGAGGCCCTCTGTTTTTCAAGTTTCAATTTTACTTTTTTTTTAACATTTCATCTAAGTGTCGTGGCGTATATACTAGAAGTGTTGAGAAGGCAGCTACGCATAAACCAGGTGTGTCATTTCAGATAATGGTGAGATAAGATCAGAGCCACCACTGAGCAGGATGCTAGTCACTAGTCTCTCCCTAGACACTAGGTCCATTCAGGCATTCTGGTTAAACTCGCAATCTTAGGAGTTACACAATTATCCCCTTGTAGAGATAAAATTTGAGACTGGCAAAAGCTAGGTAACTTGCTCAAGGTTACCAGTTAGTAAATGAGGGAGCCCTTAAGTGAGGGAGCCTGGGCTGTGACCTGTTGAGAGATTTCCTAGGCCTTTACTGAGTGTGTTGGCAACACTAGCCAAAAAGACCAGTCGGCCTGTGTGGTGTGTCCTGTGCATAGCCTGAGCTGCTTTACTGTCCACCCTTTTGACAAGTTGCTGCATCTAACTTCATGCCACAGGAGTTAATTTCCCTGCATCTATCTCATGAATTTAATAGTCCATAGTGCTATTCTACAGGAATCTTTCTGCATTCAAGGATTGATGATATTTTGTGTGGAACTATCTGAAGCACTGCAGCATCATATCTTAACCATTCTCGATCTCTCAGTAGTGATTGCTGACCTGATACCCAGTCCACCCCTTCATTGGCGCACCAAAATCTATTTCACTTATTTCCAAATGCCCCCCAGAAGGATGACACTGCCCCAAAGCTAGAACCACTGAATATGATATATGGAAGACACTGTAATGTTAAGTATATTCTCTCTAAAAAAACCTCAAACCCTATGGCTTCCTCAGACGGTGTAGTAGCCACTCCAAGCGTGCAAGCCCCATTTTGGCACCAGACCTCCACCAACTACTAGGTGGATGACCTGAACAAGGTAAACTTTTGGAGCCTCAGTTTCTTCTGTGAAATGGGAATGAGAGTGAACTTGGCAGAAGTCCCTACTGGACAGGCAAATAGTCCTTCCTAATCTTTCCCCAGCTCTTCCTTTGTCCCCATCCTAAGGAGCTGTAACTTGTCCTCGGCTCCGAGGACATAGTGAGATCATTGCTTAACTTAGCTGCCACGGGTTAAGAAGCAAAGGTGTAAAGAAATGAAGTCAGTGGAGAGAGGTTGAGTCCCAGCTTTAGTGTAATTACCTTTGATGGCGCAAATGGGGAGGTAGGTGCTAGTCCCCAGAGGGATGAATAGGCAGCTTTCCAATTTTGTAATGGAGAATTTTTTCCTTCACGTTGGAGCTTAAGACTTTTGATTTTACTAAACGTGAAATATGACTTGGCTAGTTGGGATTTCTTGTACATTAAGATCCCTGAGGGAAATTTGTGGAAGCTAGTTCCATTGAACTCACAAAATGATACTTAGAGCAAATAAAACTCAATTTCTGTACTCTGAAAGCTTATTCTACAAATCCAAAGCAACATCTTTTCATAATGATGGTATTTATCAAAACTCAGATTATTCCACAACCCAAGCCACCAGGCAATATTAAAACTAGGGAAGCAGAAATCGAGGCGTTACAAGCAGCAGCATTGACAGTCCCACAGCAGCCCAAGCACCCAAATGTGCCCTCGTTCTCCTGGGCTCCTAGATTCTGCCATGGACAAAGATAACCAGGGTCCCTGCCTGCACAGCCTAGGATGGGAGCTAAGGCTTTGGCTCTTCTCCAGGGTTTCTCCCGTTCATCTTGAAGCCAGAATTATAGTGCTTGAAAGAGCAAGTTAGAGCTCTACCCTCTACCCAGTCTGTCACGGCCTCAGCACCACTGGGAGAATGAAAGCCTTCCCTCCAAATTCCACATTTCTTTTAGCCACTGATCCTGCCTGCTTTCACCTTTAAGCCTATGTTCAACACTCCATAAATCACATAGTGGCAAGTGGTTGTCTTATTCAAGAAGAGAATGAGCGTACCCTCCCTGGCAAGGGTCCTCTGTTACCCCTGGATAATCCAACCCTGTCTTCCTAGTTCTGACAGCACCACCAAATAAACAGTTGTTGATGAGTAAGTTGAGTACAATTATGAATGCAGGCCATTTTTACTGGAACTGGTGGCAAGATAGCCAAAGAGAAAACAGAGACATTTTGTTCATAGAATTTAAGTTTTTTAGCAACATCATAAAGAGGGGGAAAAGGAACTGAATCTGAAGCAGCTCCAGTAAGAAAAGCAACTTGCTGATTGGGCCACTCGGGTTCCTAGATGCCATCGTCCAGCCCTTTGGCACAGCTTGCTGCTTAGCTCTGTAGTCACCCTTCCGTGACCTCGAGGCCCATACCCAGAGGTGTCTGCACGTCTTTTCTCTTTAGCTTTGAGTAGACATTACAGTAGGATTTTCTGTTCCCAGAAGCAAACACATGGCCTAACCGGTCCCTGGATTATAAAAATGAGCAATACTACAACGGAAGACATCCCCAAATGAGGCTCCACAGCCCCATACCCAGCAGCAGCAGGCAAGAATGATTTGCTTCTTTGTCCTGGGACAGAGTGCTCACCCCACACCCCAAAGGAACTGCTTGGCCCAAAAGATGGAGAAGATGAGCAGCAGAGTGACGCTGAGGATGACGGCCATCAGGTAGGCAAAGATCCGGAACTGAGGGTTGCGGAAACATTCTCTCAAGGAGTAGTGGCTGGGGATGGGCACAGGCCTGGTGGCAGGGGCTGTGTTCTGTGGGGGCCCCACCTGCCTCCCGGGCTCAGGGCCTAGGTCCAGTGTGTAGACCCGTGGCTGGCGTAGGAAGTAGCGGCTCTTGGGCTGGTCCTTGAGACAGAGCTGATGGCCCTCCAGGATGACATGGTGGGGCTCCAGGCGCAGCAGGGTGAGCATGGCAGTGTCCGTGGGCAAGTCAGTGACAGGCTGCCCAGAGGCCAGCACTGTGGGCTGGCGACAGAGTGGACATAGCAACCGGCGCCGGGCAGGCGTCACTAGGCTAAGGTGGGCCAGGCATTCCACACAGAAGGAGTGGCAGCAGTCCAGCACTTTGGGGGTGTGGAATGTGTTGTTGAAAGGGTTCCAGCAGACAGGGCACTCGGCCTCAGGCTCCCGGCTCCGCTGCTCAGCCATCCTCAGACCAGATGCCAGGAGGCCTGCCAGGAGGCCCACTAGAAGAAAGGGAAAAGGAGCAGAGGAACACCCATTAAGCTCTGTCCCTGTTTGTGGTACCATGCTAAGTGTTCTGTGGGTTGTTGGAACGTGTGTCACCCATGTTTCACGAATGAAAAATCTCAGGTTCAAAAAGATTAAGGGATTTGTCCCATGTTACCCAATTCCTATGCTGTAGTCTGGTGCTCAGGGTGAAGGCCTGAGCTACCCTCCTGTTTAACGAGGTGCCATAGGAGACTGTATCCCCGCTTCGGCGATGGATATAAATGCTGCTTAGGCTCCATGTGATTGTCCTTGGTGGCTTGAACTTCAGGAATGAGGAGGGAGCCAAGGTCAGGTTTGTGCTAGTGGCCAGAGTTTCCTTCTCTGATACCTCAAATTCCTGACTAATGCACAGATGGGCTTTGTGAATTCCCTGGTCTGTCCCTCCTCTGAGGACAAATGCCAGGCCCTCCTTCCCTCCTCCCATTGGGCAACAGAGCCAACCCTCAAGAGCCCGTTGGCCTAATCTTTGTGTACTGCACTGGGTGGCCAGGAGGCCTCACCAAGACTTTTCCCCTTGACCTGGAAGCTTGGAGAGACTGCCTGCCCCGGTCCCCAGATCAGCCCTTCCAGAGCCTCCTCCCAATACTCTGGGCCCCTGGCTCTTCCTCCCTCCCTTTGTCCCTGGAACCCCGAAGGCACCCACCTGGGCTTCCTTGGTCAGGTAGACTACCCTGCAGGGCCCGAGGTACCAGTCCCTTCTCTCCTGAATCCACAAAGCTTTGGGAGACTGCCTTCTCGCCACCAACCCTGGGGCTGTCTCCATGGCAGCGCACACGCAGCACCTGGCGCTGCCAGGTGGCCCAGGCTGCAGCCTCTGGAGCACACCTGCCTGAAGTGGGGCCAGAGAGCTGCGCTGGTGGTGGTGGGGGACTGGAGTTCCCGCAGGGCATGGCAGGCCATGCCTAGGAGCCCAGGATCTGCAAGGTTGGGGGTGGTGCCTTCAACAACCGGAATCCCAGTCTGCAAAGGCAGGAGTGATGATTTCCTTTTTCTAGAATGTGGAGAGTGTAAGTGAGCCCTCTGGGTTTCCTCTCTCCTGGGCCCTCATTTATTTTCTAAAATGGCTGAAACCTCCTTGTGGCACAAAGGGGTTGCCCGCCCTGCCCTTCAGTTGCTATGAAATTCACCTACAGCACAGGGTAAAACTGAGTATCAGCTACAGCAAGTCCTCACCTACCCCTTTTTCTCTTTTAATGTGGCCAAGTAGCTGTAATCAGAACATGCACGCCCTGCTGCCTTTGTTCTTAGAACACAATCAGCCTGGCAGGCACTGAACTCTGAGGTCTTAGGGAGTTGGGAAGGGGCGGGACTCTCCTTGCTTCCCCATTTCAATCAGAAACGCTCACCTGGTCTCACATTGCTCATTTGAATAAGCTAAAGAGTAGAAGTGCTGGGGGAGGAAAGTTTTAAAAACACTCCTCTGTCCTAACCATTCAATTTGCAAATGGGTGACAAGAAGTGAGTTTCACCTAAGGTGACCCAGCTATTCCATGGGGACACCGGGACTCCCAGCCACCACTGTTCACTCATCCATTCAGTCCCCCTGCCAGAGTTGGTTGTTAGACAGTGTTTGCCTTCTCTTGGGAGAGTCCACAAGGCCATAATCTCCTGTGGTAGGAACCCGGGAACTGTGCAAGGGGGGGATGGGGAGCTGTTGGGGCCCTGATAGGACACTATCAACCCTGACAATTGATACCTGATGCAAAACCTGTTTACACTCTCTTAGCCAGAGCTTCCTGTTTTCTGCTAGATCTGTCGCTCCTCTGTGTAGGGACAAGGAAATAAAGACGTGCAAGAGGCTGGAAAAGCTCTGGCCCAAGCCAGAGTAGCTAACCATGGGTCCTTACCCGTGCCTTCTTCTGTGAACCATCTAGCTACCTACAGCAGTTACTGAGCTGCTGTAGGCTCACTCTGTGCCAGGTGTCATGTGAGGCACTGGGTAAATAAAAATGAACAACATAGACTTGGTCTTTTACCCCATGACATTTAGAATCTAGTGAGGGGGGTTTCCCTGGTGGCGCAAGGGGTTAAGCACAGCACTGTGAAGCTGTCCACAGACTCTGCAGCACATGTTCTATGTCCAGCTGGCCAGGGAGCTACCCACATGGCGCAGCAGACCTCTCCTGTCTTGCCCGCTGCTCCTCTCAGCAGTGTATTTCTGTCAGTCTGCCTGTTCTATTCCCTACTCTGTCTATGGTGAATCCTTTCACCCTCTACACCTCTGGCCTGTACCCAGTTCTTGTATGCATAAATAAATATATCTTTTTTGAAAAAAAGAATTTAGTGAGGGAAAGAGACCCTTAATGAGTGATGGTCAATCAATCAATCCATAATTTTAATGAAAGCTATAATGGGCTGAAAGCAAAGTGGGCTTAGGGGGCTGGCTGCTTCAGAGGAGGCCACCAAGGAAGAGTTCTCCTAAGAGGTGATAATAAAGCTGACGCTGACAGAGCAGACAGTCCATCCGGCCATGCAGAGTTGAGAAAGCGCCCCCAGGCCACAGCCTAAGGGGAGATAAAGCTCTGCTGGATTCAGGGAATGAAAAAGGCCAGGGTGACTACCATGTCCTGGGTGGGGCCAGTGAGAAAGTGGATTTGGATGAAGAAGAGTGGGGAAGCAGCGCCCAGGAAACAGCAATGCATCTGGATTTTAACCTAGGGATGAGCACGCATCTCAAAGTTGACCTGATCCTATTTCCATTCTAGAGACACCATTCCAAGACAGCAGAGAACAGACAGAGAGAGACAGAGTGGAAATGGAAGACCAGGCCGGGACAGTGACAGAGGTAAAAGGAATGGGGTGAAAAAACATCTCTGGAGATGGAATCAAAAGCACTTGCCAAGAAGCAAGGGACAAGAAAGATTCTGGAACCAGGTTGTCGAGGCTTGTGACCCCAGCTCCATTGCTTACTGGGGCTGTGATTCCAGTTGAATTGTTTAAACTCTCTGTGCCTCAATTTCTTCCCCTGGAAAGGAAACTAAAAGTAGTACATCAAAGGGTAGAGATAGAGCCTGGCAGCCAGTGAAGAATTTTCTGAGGAAGTTGGCATTACCCCTGCAAATGGATTTGAGAGAGAAGGTTCAATTCAAGGCCATGGAAAATCTTCTGCACTGAGTGTTGCTAAGCCCCTGAATTCCAGAGTGTCCTGATCACAAGTGTTCATTGGTACACAGCCCTGATTCAGCGGGCCCTTCCTGGAAACCAGTCCAGGGAATAATCAAGGTCTTGAGCAAAGATTCGATTACCAAGATACCAGTCAAAGCATTGCTCCAGCGTGAGATATTGAAAATGAGCTAATTAGCCAATAGTTGGAGAATGATGAAATAAATTCTGTTCTATATATACAGAGAGACATTCTCTCTATCACATTAATATGGAAGTATGTCTGTGATATAATATCATTAAGTGGAAAGAACGAGTAATAAAATCATACTACATTATATCTGTATGCAATGGGAAAAAAGCTGGAAAAACAAACACCAAAATGTCATGAGGGGGTTATGTGGGGGGTGGGAGAGGGTAAGATTATAGCTTTTTTTTAAGTCTCTTATCTAAAAAGCCTAACTTCGTAAGCCTGTATTACTGCCTTTAAAGCTTCTCCCTTTCCCGCCAAGGCAGACGTGCATTTCTCAACTGCCATGGCAGAAGCTGTAGAGTGCTGTTCAGAAGAGCTGATGACACTTGTCCCTGGATCTTATCTGCCGTGGGCCCTCAGGAATCCACTATTGTTTCAGAATCTGCTGGTCAGAGTCCAACCCCTCCAGGAGAGACTGGCTGTGCATCCACCCACCACTCACCCCCAGGACACCTACACACCACCCCAAAAGCATCACCTTGGTCTCTGAACCAAGCCAGTGAGTCACAGACTCATTGTAGCATCATCCCAACATTTTCAACCTCAATAGACAAAGAACTAACATTGTTACAGCACTTCACAATTTACAAAGGACCCCCATCCTTGTTAGGATCTGGGGGTCATGGTTGCCATCTAAAAATGCCACCTGCCTTTTACAATTTTTTCCATTTGCATAAGGTCAATTAATTCTTTCAGACGCACACTGTGAAGGAGGTAGGATGAGGAAAAGAATGTGTGCGTTGTAACCGAACGTACATGCTGTGAAGTCTGGGACAAATGGCTGAACCTCTCTGAGCTTCATTTTCCTCTATAAAATAGCTTAATAATCCCACCTTCCAGGACTGCTGTGAAAAAGGAATAATGTCTGTGATGTGCCCAACAAAGCACAGCAGGTGTCTTCTATCCCCATTTTTATATTTTTCTGCCCATTTTGTAGATGGGGAAGTCAAGTCTCCAAAGAATGCAGTGGCCTATCAAGGTTTAAAGAATGGCTGAACCTGGGCTTCCCGGTGGCGCAGCGGTTGAGCGCTGGGTTGCGAAGCTGCCCGCGACCTCTGCGGCGCCAGTCGATCCCCGGCTGCTCCCCGGCCACCTGAGGAGGGTCCCACATGGCGTGCAGACCTCTCCTGCCGCCCGCTGCTCCCCTCAGCAGTGTACTTCGTCACTCTGCCTGCTCTGCTCCCCGCTCTGGCTCTGGTGAATTCTCTCACCCTCCCGGCTTCTGACTGTACCCAGCGCATGTGTGAACAAAACAAACAAACAAATAAAGAATGGCTGAACCTGAAAGATGATTCCAGAAACCCTGCCTCCCAGGCCAGTGTCCATCCCTGCCATGCTGCCTCTCAGGATCCTGAGCCCTGTGACTACCCTCCCTGCCCCTCGCAGGCTCCTTACCTGTACTCTGGGAGCCTCCTCCCTTGCTGAGTGCAGCCTACCCGCCCGTTCTGTGCCCCGGGCCTGGTTTCCAGGCAGTTGTGGGCGGGGCTCATTTGCATGGGTCAGCTGGCTGCTCTTGGCAGCCTGTCTGTGTCAGGTTTTCCTCTTCCTTCTGATAATTGGACTGTGGGCTTATAGAGGACAGTTGGGAGCTTTGGCTTTATCTTCCTCCCCTGAGTCACTCTTGCTTTTTCTCTAAGGGAGTCGAAATCCATTCATCTGTGCAGGCCTTGGATCCACTTGGGTCAACCTGTCCCTGTTCTCACCCTCTATCTGCTGACCCTACAACCAAAAGACAAAGGACTCATGCAAAAACTAAGGAAAAAAGGTAATAATCCAACAGAAAAGCAATCAGGGAGAAACATTTAAGCATCAGCATGAAGAAGCTAGGGTCTCAATCAAGTCAGTCCTGGCTCAGAACCTAGACTTCACTTACAGTAGTGGAGACTTGAGCAAATTAGAAAATGGGCATAATAATTTGATCTACTTGATTTACAGGTTAAGTCAAATAATGCACAGAGCAATTATCACACAGTGCTTCACACTAGGCCACAGCAGTCAATGTCTCCTTAGAACTAGTCTCATAATTAGAAAAAGAAATGCAAATGGAATAGATAGGTGTTATTCAACCTTATTTATTGTTAGAGACATTTATACATTTAAATTCAAATTGAAATAAGATGCTGATTTTTTCCAATCAGACTGACCTATCAAAATAATAGTAGTTAAAAATGCCACTATTCTTGGGCCTCCCTGCTGGCGCAGGTGGTTGAGCACAGTGCTGTGAAGCTGTCCGTAGCCTCTGCAGTGCAGGTTCGATTCCAGCTGGCCAGCCAGGGAGATACCCACATGGCGAGGCAGACCTCTCCTGTCTCACCTGCTGCTCCCCTCAGCAATGTATTTCAGTCAGTCTGCCTTTTCTGTTCCCAGCTCTGTCTCTGGTGAGTCCTCTCACCCTCCTACACATCTGGCCTCTACCCTGGTTCTTGTATGTATAAATAAATAAATCTTCAAAAAAAGTCAGATAGTGAATATTTTTTTAAAATGCCACTATTCTTTAAAGTAGCAATAGCAGTTTTCTTATTTTAGTTTTTAAAAGATTTATTAATTTATGTATAAAGAACTAGGGTACAGGCCAGAGGTGTGGGGGGGATGAGAGGACTCACCAGAGACAGAGTGGGGAGCAGAACAGGCAGACTGACTGAAATACACTGCTGAGGGGAGCATTGGGTGAGCGAGGAGAGGTTTGCTGTGCCATGTGGGTAGCTCCCTGGTGGGGGATAGAACTCATGCTGCAGTGGCTTCGGATAGCTTCATAGGTTGCGTCTTTACCCCTTGCGCCACCAGGAAGGCTCCCCATTTTTTAAAAAAAGATTTATTTATGCATGTAAGAGCTCGGGTACGGGCTAGAGGTACAAGGGGTGAGAGGATTCACCCGAGACAGAGTAGGGAGCAGAACAGGTAGATTGACTGAAATACACTGCTGAGGGAAGCAGCAGGCAAGACAGGAGAGGTCTGCTGCGCCTTGTGGGTTAGCTCCCTGGCTGGGGATCAAACTTGCTGCAGTGGCTGGTGATAGCTTGATAGTGCTGAGACTTGAACCCTTGCACCACCAGGGAGGCCCTGATTTTTTTTTTAAGATTTATTTATTTATTTATACAAGCACTGGGTACAGTCAGAAGCGCAGGAGGGTGAGAGAATTCACCAGAACCAGAGCGGGGAGCAGAACAGGCAGACTGACGAAATACACTGCTGAGGGGAGCAGCGGGCGAGGCAGGAGAGGTCTGCGCGCCATGTGGGACCCTCGCCCAGCGGCTGGGGGTAGAACCAGCGCTGCAGAGGCTGAGGGCAGCTTTGCAACCCAGCGCTCAACCGCTGCGCCACCAGGGGAGGCCCGAGGCCCTGATTTTTTTCAATTGAGGTAGCATTGGTTTACAACATTCTACATGATTTAAAGATACAGGATCACACCCTTTGGGCCTGGTCAGCATTGAGATAAAAATAAACCTGATCCTTTTCCAGGTGACTAATCACCTAGCGATCAGATCCACTATCAAGATGGCTCCAGGTGGTCAAGGCCAGGGAGTGCTTTTCAAACAGTGGAAAATTTTCCTCAAGAGATACCCAGGAGAGATAGTGAGGCATCTCAGGAATTTGAGAGTTTAACTAATTTAGTTCCAACTTGGGAGGTAGAGAGGCCAGTCAGCCAGAAAAGCACCTCATAGAAGCAGCATCTTGGACCCGGGTGAGTGAAGAGTCAGGAGACTGGGAACCCAGCCAAGGCCTGCAGTGAAGGCGCAGGTGGGAAGGACAGGTTTGGGGAGAAAGAAGTAGCTGCAGGCGGTGGCTGAGGACAGAGAAAAGGCAGGAGGTAAGTTTGCATCAGGTGATGGCAAATACCTCCCCCAGCTTCTGCTGAGGGCAGGGGCCAAATCTCCCTGGGGGGTGCAGTGTGATGCCAACCCAGTTGTCCAGAGTTTAGGACAGCCCAGGGCACAGGCAACTCCTAGAGATGGTTAGAAATACCAGCCCATGCCAGCCCCACTGAATCAGAGTCTGCATTTTCACAAGATCTCAAAGAGATTCGGAAATACTTTAAAGCTGGGAGGGGCCCTGATTTAAGAGAACTCTCCCCAGTATGTGCATTCATCTTCAGCTCTCTGACAACAAGAGAGCCCGGAGAGGGCTGGCGCACCCCGCCTGGCACAGGCACCCCGGGCAGATCCACTTAGGCAGCATATGAATTTGTTTCACAAGGTCATGCAAAACCCTAGGGGCCAGGTGTGTTTCAGAGTTTTTCATATTGGGGGAGGTAATAGGATGCATTTAACACGTGTTAAGTAACTCTCCCAGTGGGCACCCGGTAATCAAGTGAATTAATATTCTTTTATTATGAATACATGACACCAAACAGAATAAGCACCATAAAATCAAGACAGATTTGGTACCAAATTTAACCAAAGTTTATGTCTTCAGAGTGTGAAGATTCTAGAAGGGTGGATTAGGGTTATGAACTACCTTGTTGTTTTATTTTCTTTGTAGAATGTGCCATGGACTGATGTTAGGAGAACTGAAATGGCAACATTCCCCAGCTCTTGCTCACATCAGAGGTCCCAGGAAGGACACGGTCTGGATATCCTTTCAAATATAAAGCCGTGCTCATACTTCCTCTGCAAGTGGCCACATCTGGCAATCCAATTTTGGTAAAATTAAGAATTTAGGGCCTCCCTGGTGGCCCACGGGGTTGAGCACCGCACTGTGAGGCAGTCCACAGCTTCTGCAGCGCAGGTTCGATCCCCGGCTGGCCAGGGAGAAACCCACATGGCACAGCAGACCTCTCCTGTCTCGCCCACTGCTCCCCTCAGCAGTGTATTTCGGTCAGTCTGCCTGTTCTGTTCCCCGCTCTATCTCTGGTGGATCCTTTCACCCACTGTATGTCTGGCCTGTATCCCAGCTCTTGCATGCATAAATAAATAAAATATTTAAAAAAAAAAGAATTTATCCCAGATTTCTTCTTCTGTGGGCCCAACCAGAGCCATGGTTTCTCGCCTGACTGCTCAGCAGCGTGAGCTTCACCACCGGTACCTGGGCTCAGTGCAGCCACCTAGCCGCCCAGCTGCTTGTGTGAACCAGCATCTTTGTAGGTACAGGGACCCAGTTTCCTAGATCTCTGTGTCCACCAGCTTCTGCAGTGGTTGAGAATCTGGGGGCCTGAGATGGCCAGGGTATCGGTGGGCATGGGGAGCACCCAAGGTGAAAAAGAGGCCATGGACTACCTGAATGGCCACCTGTTTTCCTACCTGGAGTGGGTGAGGAGCTTTGAGAGCAAAATCGGGAACACCTGGAAAAAAGGGTCCCCCAGGTCAGGGACTGAGGGTATTACTTCAAGACCATGGAGGAGCAGAGGGCTAGATCTTGACAGATTCTATGGACAATGCCAGGTGTCTCTGCAGGTGGACAAAGCCTGTCTTGCTAGTAATAACTTCAGAGTCAAATACAAGACGCGGCAGCCACGTGCCTGTGTAGCAGGACATCCTTGGGCTCTGCAAGGTCACTGATGACACTCATGTCTCTCAACTGCAATTGGAGATAGGGGCCAACTCTCAAGGAGGAGCTGCTCTTCATGAAGAAGCATGAGGAGGGCCTCTCTGGTGGCACAGGGGTTAAAGTCTCAGCACTATCAAGCTATTGCCAGCCACTGTGGCCCCGGCCAGGAGCTGACCCCGGCCAGGAGATGACCCACTTGGCGCAGCAGACCTCTCCTGCCTCGCCCGCTGCTCCCCTCAGCAGTGTATTTCAGTAGATCTGCGTGTTCTGCTCCCCACTTTGTCTCTGGTGAATCCTCTGACCTCCCCGACCCCCACCCCTCTGGCCTGCACCCCAGTTCTTGTATGCATAAATAACTCTTAAAAAAAAAAAAAGAAGCACAAGGAGGAAGTAAAAGGGTCTACAAACCCAGATTACCAACTCTGGTTTTGTAACAGGGACTGAAGCCAAAGACTGTTACAATTTGACTGTGGAGGAAAATGCCCCAAAGCTCAGAACCTCAGCAGGCATCCGGGTCCAATATGAGGAAGCAGGCTCAGAGGAACTGGACAAATATTGGTCCTAGCAGACTGAGAGCACCACACACAGTCACCTCACAGAGCATGAGCTAGGAGCGGCTGTGACGACCCTCAAGGAACTGAGATGCACGTTCCAGTCCTTGGAGATCAACTGGAATCCATGAGAAGACTGAAGGCCCGCTTGGAGAATAGTCTGAGGGAGGAGGCCTGCAATGCATGCACACAGGGTCCCACTGCAGCTGGAGTTGGAGCTGGCACAGGCCCAGGGAGAAGGGCAGTGCCAGACCTGGGAGTACAAGGCCCTGCTGAAGAGCAAGGTCAAACTGGAGGCTGCACCTGCTGCCTGCCAGAAGATGGGGAAGACTTCATTCTCCATGATGCCCTGGGCAGCAGCAACTCCATGCAAACCAGCCACAAGACCACT